AGCCTCATCATCGGAGTGACCCGTCTGTCGACACTTGAGACTGGTCAGCTTGGCAATCTTGAAAGTCTGGTCGTCCTCGACTCCAGTCTGCAGATGGTTCAGCAAGAGCTTCAAGATCTGCCTTCCCTTGATGCCCTGAGGAGGGGTCATATTCTGAGCAGCTTCCGTAAGGCGATTCATCTTATCCCTAACGGCCCTCGTCTTAATGCAGTCCCTGATAGCACTCGTGAAGTTGGAATCCAAAACCGGATACTTACAGGGCCCTCCAAGAGCGTCATAGTCGAGCCTTTATCCACGCTAACGCGTAATCAGAGTCGAAACTGAAAGCGTTCCGGACCCTCTCCTTCACCTCGGAAATCCATTCCCGAAGCTTATCAGCTGTCGGTTCAGGAGGCAACGTGATAGTGATTTGTGATGGTACCGATCCTTATCAGCAACGGTTGAAATCAGGGCCCCTATCGGGGCACATGACGTGATCCTGCAGCTCTCACACAGCCTAGCCGGAAACGGACAGCACACATCACAAGCCCTCATACCGCAACCAACGCATGGGACAAGAGGAGGGCCGGTAATAGGGACCCTAACGCCACACTTGGTGTCTCGCCCGGTGGCCTGGAGCAACGGTGGGTTGACTAAGGCCAGCACCAATGCCCTGATTGTAGACACCACCTCCATAAGCTGGACCATAGAAACTCGATCCGCACTGGTTGTTCTCAGCTCCATGAGAGTCAGCAGCAGTGCCGTAGAATTCGGGGTATCCCCCGTAGGAGCCCCACCACTCGGGCCGCCAGAGGTCCAGCGGGACCTTGACCCCCGCCTGGATGACCAGGTCCTGGATGCCCAGGTCCTGGAGGTGGAAATGGAGCAGGTTCATGACCACTACCCCCGCCTTGGCCGGATGGTCCACCTTGCCCACCTCCTCCTCCAGGAGGAGGAGGAGAGGGCGGTCCAGCGTCAGCATGTTCACGCCGCGTATTGCATCGCGCACATCGCTCAAGGCCGTCGCTACCAAAGAGAATGTGATCCTCACACACTGAGTTCCCGCAATCCGAGCAGAGATACATTGAAACCTCCTGGGCATTTTTGCGACATGCCCAACACTTAATCTTCAGGAAGTGACAATTGCAACAGTCTCCATCCTCACCCTCGCACAGCCTGCAAAACTCACGACTACACGTAGCACACGTGAATTCAGCGTCGGGGTGCCTGCGATCACTTGGATTGTCGAGAGCACAGATCTTTGGCGCACTCGGGCCGCCGGTGCCTGGCGTACCTCTCGCAGCCGGCGCCGAGACCCGTCCACGATCGGATGGGGTCCCAGCGAGGGGTCCTCCAGCTATCACCGGGACTCTGGATGTCAGCATGAGCTCTGCTCCCAGGAGTCCTCCAGCTATCGGGACTCTGGGTGTCGGCATGAGCCCTGCTTACCCTACCACCTCCAGGATTACGGTTAGGGTTCGGAGAGATGCTCCCGCTATCGCGGACCGTCCTTTCCCCCCTCGATTGTTGATTCCGGACCTCAGATCCCCTATCAGGGACGGCAGCAGGCCTCGGGCTCCTATTTCTACCCACATCCCTGTTTGGGGAAATTGAGATGTCCCTGGCGGGGAGTGTGACCTGTCAGGCAGTCCTTGAGCTCTTCTGCTTCTACTGTCAGTCCTTTCCCTATCGGGATGAATGGGATGCCTGTCCGCACGAGAAGGATCGACCCTATCGGGCACAGTTGGCAACGCTTGATCAGTTAGACCAACACCCCCGCCCGGCCCTACCGGAAGGCCAGTACCCCGACCATTTCCTTCACCAGGAGCGGGCGTCGGTGATCTGATCCTATGTCCCTGTCCAGCAAAGGCATTGTACCCAACATTCCGCCTCTCCCTGGGTCCTGGAGGACTCTGCTGATTCTGTTGGACACCCTGAATGATGTCAGCAGCCTCATCAACGTGACCTTCAATATCGGAAAGCTGAGCCATGATCCTGTTGTTCATCCCATTAAGAGTGCGCATGTTGCTCTCGACTGTAGTAAGTCTTCGCATTGCGCCCTTGAGCGAGTTGCGAAATGAATCGAGCTCACGCCTAACGGCGGATCGTGCCTGATCAGTACTCGCCGGGAGGTTACGAATCTGTCTTCTGATATCGTCGATGACATGATTCAAGATCCCCGCCTTCGCCTCGTACTGCTCAACGTGGGATTTCACGGTCTCAAACCTCGCTATGACATCGTCATGATCCCGGCGGTTACGTTGAACTCCGCGAGAAAGATCCTGGATCTTCCGATGAACCTCGTCAATTGCTTCATGCCAGTCTTGCGGGGGATCAGGCCCTGAGGGTCTATCGACCGCCTGGGACCCCCTTCCGCTTTGCAGCCTTGACATTCGCTCAACGAGACTAACTTGTTCATCATTAATACCACCTATGGATTCGGAGACCCACTTCGCGAACCTCTCATGTTCAACAAGGATCTTCTCGAGCTTCAGGTTTAGTTCGTCCGCCCCACTGCTGGCAGCCCTATCGGGCAATAACGCAACAAGGTCACCTGTTGGCGTCCTCATCCCAACGGTTTTCTCTACCGAGAACATCCGCTTCTCTAGCTTCTCCAAGTCCTTAAGCATCTCATCTTCGGAAGCAGCATGGCTTCTGCGGATGGCCTGATGGTTCTCCTGAATGACCTGACGAAGTTGGCTAGTTGCGATTTCATTGTCCTTAACGGATTCGTGAACTTCGTGGGAAAGCAAGTTGACCCTCTGATCCACAATCTCAGCCTGTTCATCGATGGCTTGCCTCGCAATAGCCCTGCTGTCCGGGATAATCTCGCTGGCAAACCGCTGAACTATCATTCGCATCCTACCGGCATCAGATTGAGTCGCAATCTCAGTGGCCAAACGACTGACCCTGTCCTTCGTCTGCTGATTCTCGTCGCTCCAATCCTTTCGCATGGAACCCACCTGACCGTTCAGTAACCTGATTTGGTCAGCAAAGATATGGAACGCTTTCGCGACTGAACCAGACACCTCACCCCCCTCAAGCATCTCCTGGATGTGCAAATCAAACACCTCCTTTGCCCTAGCGTCACCTGACTCACCGGAAGAATGTGATCTGTGGGCTGGAGGAGTCGATATCTCGATCCTCTCAGGAGCCCCACTAGCTCTAGCATATCTTCTGGGGTCACCTACAGGACTATCATCAATCCTGGATGGCCTACTCGGGGTAGATCCCCTTCTCCAGCTATCGCCAGATCGGGGATCAATATTGGATGCACGAGACTCAGGAGTAGAGTGGATATGAACATCAGCAGGATCAAACATTTCCTCATCCTGCTGAGTTGAACCTAACGGTGAAGGGCTAGCCCTCCTCGCCTTTGACCTATCGGTCTCAATGGCCAGGGGTGACGGCCTCTTCGCAGAAGCACTACGTTCCCTGGCGGTTGATCCCCATTGAGGTGTGAACTCGTTGCTAGACCTTAGCGTTTCAAGGTCGCTGGGATCTCGCCCTAACAGGCTAGCGATCGACGGACGATCTTCGATTCCAAGTGCATCGGCAAGCCGACCATCTCTCGCACCTGTCCCAACGACATCGGCAGCCCGTTCAGTGATTCTCGGCGAACCAGTAACCCGGTTCGAGTTCTCGTCTCTCTGATGCAACGGGCCTCCAAATGTAATGTTGGGAAAAGGGGGAACATTCGGGGTATTATCAAGCACCGGAGGACCTATCGGTCCCTCCCGGTCATGGATGGCCTCCAATCCCCGAAGAACTTCCCGGCTATCCCTGGCTCTCTCTCTCTCGCTTCGGGCGTCCCTGTCAACACGAAGGTCCGAGGCTCCTGGGCCTTGCAGCAGCACGGCTCCTTGCATTTCGGCGTGATTGGTCCTCCTCCTCATCCCCAAAATTGTAATTTTCACCATTGTCCAACTCAAAATCGGCAATTACGGGGTTGGGCCTATCGGCATCAGACTCCTGCTTTGCGCTACCACCCCAGCCTGCGGTTGATTTCAACAGATCATCGTATCCGAAACCTGTGAATTTCCTCTCCTCATGCTCATCAAACTGACCTGGATTTTGAGAACCGGTTGATCGACCCGAGATATCTCTCGGAGCCAGAACCATGGTTCCTGGTCCTCGCGGCCTGTCCCCGAGCTCATCCGAGACCTGTGATTCACCTGGAACAAGAGATCTTGGGGGTCGGGTCGGTATGGCCTCCGGGTCGTCCGAATGAGGGCGGGCCATGTTCATCGCCATGCTGATGAAGTCGAACTGTCCGTGCCTGAGATCTGATTCAGAGCCGCTCCTATCGGGGCGAGCTCTCTGTGCTTGCTCATCATCAGTGGCCTGATGGAAAATGCGATCGTCTCCATCGTCGGTGTACCTGCCACGGCTCCTGGGTGTGTCCCTACCGGGATCTTCACCCCTGCGGTCCTGACCTGTCGAACCTGCTTCGAAATCCTCGTAGTCGAAGTCCGGTAGGTCCTCACCTGAGCGAAGGCCACCTAGGATGGCCTCCTCATCCACGACGCTCCTCCGAGATCGTGGGGTCGACGTCATTGAACTTGTAGTTGATGGTCTCAAGCGGGTAGGAAAGTCCTCCGGCTGATAACCTGTGATTCGGGCACGAGCCTGTGCCCAGGCAATGGGTAAGTTGGGGTAAACAAGCCACAAAAGAAAGGTTCCCCAAAAGCAAACCAATCCCCGGTCCCAAAGATCAGGGTTTCCCACACACCAGAGAACAACAACCAAAGGGAAACAAACCAAAATAGAAAAGGATACCCGCAACCTTGGTCGACGATGAACCGCACGGGCGATCCCCACCAACCTACCCCGGGCCGAAGTCTCTTTCTCCTCCGACACGAAGGCGGTCGACGTGAGGGCCCGGCGACGCTCATCCGAGGCGCGCCGGATCCAAAACTTGAGCCAAAGTGGCACCGGATAGTTGCTATCGCAACATGCCGGTAGTCACCTGAAATGCATGGCTAATCACAAACAATACGCTCCCCGATAATCTCGTATGCCTCCACCAGGCTGAACTGCTTGTGCTCCTCAGACTCACCCAGTCCGACCCGGGCCGATGCCTACGCCTCGATTGCCCGTGTGGGTTGGAGGCTTGGCGCCCTGTTGGGCTGAAGTTGGGAAGACCAAAGCCAATTTTGCGGAGCTCCCAAACCCAGTGAGAAAACCACAACTTTGGCCAAGGTGAGGCGTCAAGAGCGCTTGACTTTCTCCATTCTTTGATTGGAGGTGCTAAAGCCTCACTAACACGGTGCAAAGGGCGCCTCCTTTGTTCGGCCTGGGTTGGGACCATCCCCAATAAACCCCAGGCGGCTCTAACAGACCCCATCTGGCTCTAGGGGGCCCAAACCGACGTTTTATGAAACTAAAACTTAAAACAAAAGAACATGGGGTTTGCAAACTGTGAAAACATATTGAGCGAGGCACAAAAACCTTAGTCTAGTCTACCTGTAGACTACCGGCGCATACCTGCCCACCCACACCGCACCAGCCCCATACCCGCAAACAACTGGAAGACTAAAACTACTGCTCACCCGCGGCACACCCGCGGCCCGGACGACTATCCGAAAACTGCAGGGCAGATTTCAGGAAGACAGGGTGCTGACCTGCAAAAAGAGCCGAGATACCCCAACTCAGTGTCCACCATACAAGCCCATGTCAAAATGAAATGTTTCCCCAAGAGGACATGGGAGTTTTAGTGAGTCTCCTGGTTTTGTGTGTGTGTGTGAAATTTAGTGCGTTTCCCCATGTCCCTCCCGAATGGACCATAGACAAATCAAGAAATTCTATCCGAACTGCAACAAACACGGACCCAAACAAGGGGTCCCCCAAAAGCAGAGTCCTGTACAAATTGAGGTTCTGGGGCGCATGATGGTGCCCGTTTTTTAGGAAGCCCTACAAGGGTTGTCTAAATCCCCCATGAAGGGGTCGATGGCCTTGGACCGTGGCTGGGGTTGATCAATGATCAATATTCCTGGCCTCGAATGCCCATGGGTAACGTTCTCTATTTAGTGGGAAACTCATCTTTTCGGCGGTTTTCCGGAAGTGGTCCCTTGTATAAGGACCTTGTTGATCAACCCATATCAATTCCAACCCGAAAGAAAAAAAGAAAAAAAACTGTCCTGCACCGCCGGCGTCGGAAGTTCAGGCTTGGGAAGTTGCTCCATCTCCTCGCCAGAAGCTTTGGCTTTGTCCCCCTGTCGAAACTGAGCGGTGGACCAAAACCGAAACTGACTGACTTTGGGGTGCCACAAAGACGGTGACCACAAAGTAGGTAGGCAGGCATGTCCCGCAAGCTTTGCCTGGTTGCTTGGCCACATTTAGCCTGCGAAGAAGCTGAAACCGAAAGATAAGTCTGGCCTTTTCATGTCCCTTTCAAACCATGGTTCTGGTTAGCCTTGGTTCTACTAGCATGGTTTTGGCTTGGCTCGTACATGTTCTACCAACTTTGGGCTATATAGGTTTACGTAGACCTTATAGGCTCCACTAAACCAGGTAGAACAGATCGGTTTTGGCTCAGGCTGGCTTGGAGAGAAAAAAGGGAATACCGAACCCCAGCTTGCGCGATTAAAAAAAAAAACTGGGCTGGCCTGCTCTTTTTGCGACTTGGACCGAGGAATCCGTGACCGCTTAGAACAAACTCATACACAGTTGAGCTAAGCGCCCTCTTTCCAAATGGAAGTGGACAGGTGGCTCACTTTCTGTGCCACTCAGGGATCTGGGGTCAAGGGCATCGCCAAGGGGACAGCGGAACTGGTAGCTCTTCAGCTCCCTCTTCAGGGGAATTTGGATACATCCAGCATGGCTTGCTTCCAATACCCGCCTGGGCTGGCGCACTCGGCTGCACACGCCCATTGACCCGCGCCTGAAGCTTGAACAGCTCCTGTGAGCGGCCAAAATTCGGCGGGTCCCTTCGTTCCAACCCAACCGTTCGCTGTTCACCTCTCCGCCTACCTCCTGGCTTTTGTTCCTCCCCTCTATGGACATGGGAGGTGGGAGAGGGCCCTCATTTCTTAGGGAGATTCCCTTGGTGAAACTTGCGATTTAATGTATCGTTTAGGGAACCCTGCTTCCTTCAGTACCTGCCCACTGTTACATGGGCGGGTTATGCCACAAAGAAGGTTTAAACATGTTGCTTCTTTTGAATCATACCCCACGTTGGCCCTGCTTTTTTCTGATCCGCTCCGGAGTGAGCGTTGCTTCGGCTCCTACATCAAGTAAGTCCATTAGGGTCAACCCCAAGCCCTCGCGCCAACCCGTCCAGCTCGCTGGTCTTCGTGCGAAGACGCCGCGCCGGCGTCGACTTCATGCTGCAAAAAACGAGAGAAAAAACAAACTTGAGCCCGCTTGTGGCTTCACGTATCTGAGTTGTCTCGGGAAATTCTAACCTGACAACTTGCATGAAGCATGCAGGACGTGTTTTGCTCTGCTTTATTGGGGATTGCAAAAAGTGATGAACAATGTGGGGCCATGCGCATGAATGTGCACTCCTAGTGTCTGGGGCAGTGTTTCGAAAGATAAAAAGAGGTTATGGCTTGGTAAGATCAGGTACAGTGCATGTTGCCACACATTGCAGACGTGTCAGGACTTGCTAATGTAACAAAGTGCAAACTGCCGCTCCCCTAGCCCACCTCCCACTTCTTTTCGCATTTTGCGTCCCTCCGCTCACTCTCATTCCGTGGGTGGTGGAAGGTAGCTCAACTCCTGCCGGAACCACGCCTCAGCAAAGCGGCTAGAGGTTGTGTGGTGGGGGCCTCCGGGACCTTGCAAAGGATTTCACAAGTCAAAGGTCCGAATTCTCAGAAGGGGAGAGACGACCTACTCTGCCCCTTACACACTCCGCTAGTCGTCTCGGCGGAGATTCATACCTGGCATGAAAATTACAGGGTCTTTGTTGTTCCTGTCCACCCTACGTTCTGGAAGGGGATGGATACTATGTGCTTTTCAAATGTTGCGCGAGTGTCATCTTTGCGGATGCATATCGTGCCAATGGCTTATCAACTGCTCCGGAATCGTTAGACTGGCGTTGGAGCCAGGCAGGGTGCAAGCTGGGAGGAGCCCTTTCACATCGAATCACACACACACACACACACACCTGGGACCAGCTGGCACGCACTCAAACGACTATGATCCAAGAAAAATTCATGGCCCGCAATCGCATCCTGCCTCATCGGTCTTGTGGGGGGATCTGGTCCACTTGAAGGCCTTCCGGGTGAAGTTCGCTGTAGCCTGGCACGTGGCCATTGCGATGCGCTCGCGCATGGCTTGCTGGACGCACAACGGTGCTGGAGAGAGGTGAAAAGGCGGGAGAGGCGCCAACTGGAGCAGGAATCCACTGTTTGCTGTTGAAAGGTTGTTGCGGGATAGGAAAATGCTTTGTCTCAACCTTCCAAGTATTTTTTGTGCTGGCGCAAATGCCTTTCGGTGCATAGCGCATGTGGATGGCTGGGATTGGAATGGTGCTGCGGCTTGGCTGTGAAGGCGGCGGCTTGGGAAAGCTCCTTGGGATTCACGTAGAGTGTCAAAGTCTGGCTAAATGAACAGATCACCAAAGGAAGCCCCTGGCCCCTTGCCTTATCTTCAGCTGAAGCCACTTTCCTCGGCACCTCCTGCGATGCGCCCATACAAAACGGGGCACAGGTGGTCGGCCCAGGAAAGCAGGGAAGCAACATTTACCTTTCTAGATAGCTTGCACAAATTGACACATCGTCTACAGAATGAACACAGGCACTAGTCAACACCCTCAGCGGTGGCAGACCAACAGCATCAATACGATCGGGAGAGGCATGGACATAGTGTTGCTTGTACAGTTTCCGTTGCTTGGTTTTGACAACCTTGCCACTATTCCGTGAAGTGCTAGCGCCTTGAACCAAAGGAGATGAGTTTGATTGGCTCTGCATGGTAAGGCCTGATTCATTCATTCCACGTCCCGTGAGGTTCTGAGACGGTAACAGCGCAGCTCCTGCACCGCCGATTGGCGCTCCTGGCGCGGAGCAGTACAGCGAATGCCTGGATATGGGACCAGCGAAAGCCTGCAGACGTCACCACTGCTTATTTCCTCAAGCGAGACCCAGGCGCGATGCGCTTTGGCATCTCAGAGCAGCTCCATCAAGTCTCACCAGCTGCTTCTAGTCATCGTATGTCGCGAGGCACTGACCCGTTGTTCGGCACAGACGGCTTCCAATGCTCTGGCAGCACCTGGTGCGGCCTCTCACAAATGCTCCGGCAGCAAGTTCTGCGCCAGCTTTCGCACCTGGGGAACAAAAGTTTGGTGTGGTCCTTTCACATTTGGAGCCCCGGACTGGTCTTGATGACCCATGGGAGAGTGCGACCCGCAGAACGTCCCATGATATCAACTGTGATTCCACCACGGGCGCCTCAGAAACCAGATGCAAGAGAAAAATCAACACACCAACCAAGGAAATACATGGCACAGGAAGACACAGTTCTCATATCACCTCTTCTACCAGCATGCTTCTACAGATGTTCATACGTCTTAATACAATCCCTAACAATCCATGGAGTAGAATCTTCCAAATTGGCCAATGGGCGCTTGCTCAAACAGCTTTCACCAACTTGGGGACAGGTATGCTTTGTTGAGGCTCGGTGCCGTTGTTGGGTTGATATCCGAAGTTGGAAGCCCAAATAAAGGAAACTATTCAGTTTTGGGGAGTCCTCATGCCACAGGATTAAGATGCCACCAGTTCACAAGCCCATTTGAAAAAAAAAATGTTTCAACACACGCCCACTTAACCCCAGAGGTGGTTGCCCCAATCCTTGGCACTCAGGAAATTTGAGATGGCAGCCGCTGAACTGGGTAATTCTTGCAGCTCGAAAATGTGGCTTGAGGTCAAGGCCTATTGACTGATTTTCGAACAATGTTCAAAAGACGGCCAAATGCTTACAAAGACCGATTTGGGCTTTCAACAAATGTTAGTCCTTTTCTACCATCCGCTTACAGGGCTCCGATCGGTAGCTCCTTAGCTCCCTCTAGAAAAGAACCTTTGGATACGCTCCCTCGGACGACCACGGAAGTGGGTCAAGAATAGGTACCCAAAATAGAACCCTGGTAAAAGGAAACATGGACTAACACCTGCGGTCCAATTCCTGGTGGTTCAATTTTGACCCACAGCCATGTCAGCCTGGGGGAGGACCGCCCCAGCTCCACCAACGGCGCCCTTCCAACCCCCGGCTGAGGCGCTGAGACGTTGCCCTCCGCATCCGGCTCCGCCAACTTCAGCAGCTCCGCGAGCTCTTCCTCGCTGAGCCTGGGGACCGTTTCCTCGTTCCTCCCGTTTCGGCTGGAGTCGGAGGTGAGAAGATAGGGAGAGAGTTTGGGATCCACCGGTTCTTTTTTCATGCTGGGCAAAAACAACTCAGGCTCAGATCCATTGATTGGGACTGATGCTGACTCCAAGACTGTCCAAGAATGATCCGACTACATCCCCAGCCAGAAACGCTGATCGTTGAGGAAATCGGATCATCCAACTTAAGACAGTGCTCATCCAAGAACCTACATGCACCGCTCAAGTGTGCACTGGTCCAAAAGCCAGCATTGCAAGAAGAAGCACTGCATGATCCCACGCAGTTATCCAACCCGTTAGTCCAACCCGTTAGAGAATTGGAGCACCCTGCAGCACCATCAAGAAACTAGCAAACATGCACGCCTGGGTTTCTCCTTTTTGGGTGAAAATTATGTTGGGTTGCTTTTCAAGGCAAACCAACAGGAAGCCAACCATTTGGGGCTCCCCTAATTTTGGCAACAGCCTCACGGATCAGCTGCACACATCAAGTGATGTGCGAAGCGCAAGGATCCAGCGTTGACCCACCGTTTGTTCTTCTTCTTGCTGGTGCGATAGGCAGGGAATGAGAAACAGAACAACCCTTGCAAACCATCCCTCAAGGTTTTCAGGATGCACTCAGAAACTGCGAGTCGCATCAACGACTTGTGCGGGCAGGCGGCTTCTCCCCAAAGTTTGTGACGATGAAGCGCAGGGAATCAGCATCCACCTCAGAGATCCACGGCTTTGCAACACTTGGAAAGCGAATTGTAACAGTGAAGCTCTTTGCTTGAGCCAAACTGCACGCTTGGAGTCGCGAAATCATGACTCCAGCTACCGTTCTAAACAGAAAGGTGGCCGTGCAGAGCGCATTCTCATTCTCAAAGCCCACTGGGCCTCTTGGCGCAGATTGGGAAGAAACCAAAGCCCCTCAGTTTCCAGGTTCCAGGACTGCAGGACTTGACTGGTGCTCCAAATTATAACCGAGGCTGGCGCGAGCCCGTCTTGCGCCAGGCCTTGAAAGGAGCGGCCATGTTGGCAGTGGGCTTCGCGAGAAACTGCCCAAACACAGGATATATGTTCCAGGCCGTGGGGGACCCTACCCTTGCGGGGGGCGGGCAGGGGGTAGGCGGCCTAGGCCTAGAAACTGGAACATGTGTATATATATATATATAGATATAGATATACGGTTGAACTGGTTGAAACTAGGAATGGCATCACAGCTTTCCAGCTGACGGTTGCCCTTGCCTGGAATAGAAACTGCCGTGATTGGACGGGGTTTCCTGGCTTCGATTGAAACATGGGCGGGGGCTTTGACCCATTTCCAGAAAGGAAAAACACGCTATCGTTATCTTATTGTGGATGTCTTATACAGAACTTTTCACCTGGACCTGACATCCGCTATAAACTGTTCGCAAACAGAATGCTCGGACCACGGGATGTTGACATCATGTGGGTTTGCCTGCTCGCGGCAATTGGCAAAAATGATACACTCAAACGGATCGTTCTGACATTTTGGCACAAGCCTAGTCGAAGTTTAAATCCATGGCCTCAAGTCGCCTGGCCCGCAAGGATTCGTCTCCAGACCAATCCCGCAAGCTCATGGGCCCATGCGCGCCTCCCAGCTTATCGGCAAGCACCTCCTGCGTGGGCCGCCTGGCGAGCGGCATTTCAGCGCATTGAACAACGGCAGTGTGGTTGTTTGAATCTGAAATACATTGCGGAAGCATGAAGCAGCACGAATTAGCACATGAGTCATAGTAAAAACCCGGTACTAAAGTTGTCTACCCAAGACCAGGCGAAGAATGAAAAGAGCTTCGGCCCCTGTTTCTGGCTGGGACTGCCAGGTGATTGAGGCTATCTGATGTGAACATGTCGGCCCTTCACCGCGCCTCTGGAGCAGTACCTGCAAGGCCTCGCGGAAGGCAGGATACTCGGGGCACTGCCCATGCTCTCGGCCTCGGCGAGAGCATGAACCCCGCCCCCCGATCCAACCAGGCGGCCTGAAAAAGGAGGGCACCAACATGGAACATAGGCCTCACATGAAACCAAGCAGTACATCCACCGCGCAAAATGGCCAATACAGGTGTTCAGGCACTGCTCAAGCCGGAGAAGGGCCTGACATCTGCCAAAACCTGAGCGCGCCTTTTTGGCAAGCATTTTTGCGGAACCTTCGAACCACCGTCCCTCCTCGGGAGGCTCAACGAGCCGATACGCTCCGGAAAAGCCAAGCGCCTTTCCGAGGCCTCGGCAGATCTCCTCGAAGTCCAGGGCCGTGGGGCAGGCGCCCCCGCACCGCAGCGCCTGGAGGAACTCCTTGCGGCTCAGCCTCGGAAGCGACCGGAGAGAGACAGAGGAGAAATGAGGAGAGGGACGAAAACTTGGGCTGCGCTAAACTTCCAGCAAAGGGGGAAGGGTAGGGGAGAGGATAGGGCAGGAGAGGAGGGAGAGCGCTTTCAGAATGGCCTCTTGCATTTTTAACTTTAAGCTTGGACATTGGGCCCTCCGCTGAAGGGCCTGGGCTCCTGGCTTCCCATCACCGTTCTTGTCCTTGGCATCGCTCGGCTACGCGCAGCAGGGATTGCGCCGCTGCACTTTCCTTGAAAAGTATCATACCACATCGACCCAGACCCAAGACTTTGCACCAACAGACCTGAGTCCGAGCTAAACCGGGCTGCTTCACTTCCTGTTGTTAGGCCTCCAAAAGTTGCAGCTGCTCTGGAAACTTGCACCAGTGACCCCTCTCAAAAAGAGCCAACCAAACCCACTGCCCCATGGTCCGGGACTCCGCCCAAAAGCGCGCAAAGCGGCCAAGCGGCGCAGTACGCGAAGATGGTGTCCGGGTCAAGCTTTGACGGCATGGCAGCTCGCCTTGCCCCTGTGTCAAGGGGCGATACGTTGCACTGGAGAAAACCAACACCAAGGGGTGCGGTTCTTGGGTGAGCTGAGCTTGCTGTGACCGGAGTGATGTCGCCGGAGTGAGGTCTTTTCGTTGACGCGCAATGTCTACAGTTGGCTTTGTTGTGTGTGTGTGTGTGCTTTGCTGAATGCCTTTCAGGATGCAAAGCAATGCTAAAGATACTCCAAGAACCAGTCCCTCCGATAGGCAGTAAAGGCTGAGATTGAAGCAAGCACTTGCGTAGTTCTGGGCCCAAACAAAGGTGACAATCTCTTGGCAAGATCAGAGACAGGCTGTCCCCAAGCTTAAAGGGCAGTTCACCCAATTGCCCCGCGTCCCACACCATGTCGGGCGTCTGGACAGCCCGTCAACTCTGCTCCTGGTAGGCGAACACGTCTTGCGCCTGCGCTGCGGCGACAGAATGTTGGCTCTGGGCCACCTTTGCCTTTCGGTCGCTGAACTCAAAGCAGGATACCCTTTCCAAACTGACTGCACAAACGTCTCCATCGACCGCAATGCCACATGGAGAGCCACATGTTGTTTTTGGTTGCTGATGGGACGTCAATTCTTTCTCTTCTAGTCGATGCGTGGACTTCCAATAGACCTCCGAAGACTTTCCAAGCTCTGCACTGCTTTACAGCATCGCTACTCCTCAAAGATTGAACTGATGGATGTCGTTCTGCGAAGGCGAGATCTGGCTGTCATTGATTCAAAGGATACGGATCTCGCTTGTTCAACAGCAAGATCCCTTGGCAAAGCGGCAAAAGACCGTCAACAGTCTAAAGCATCCCTCTGTCAAGGAGTTGGCAAAGCGCATCTGTGCAGCAAAGGCTCAGCAATTACAAGAAAGATAGAAAGATGGGATGTGTCTTTCAACTGAAGCGGGCAAACCAAACGCCAACCGGGCTGCAAGTCGTTTTCGCTCCCAGCCCTCCCAAACCCGCGCCGCAGGGCCGCGCATCTGCGGGACCTTGGGCCACCTCGGGCCGTGCTCCCAGTTCAAAAGGGGCTGGCCCACCCCCCGTTTGTGTTTGCGTTTTTGCTTTGAATTTCTTTATTTTACAATATTGTCTGAACAACCTCCTTTTGTTGCCCTTCAAAGAAAAGCCAGGGTTGGTTGTTTGAACAACTTCTGCTCAACCCTGCGGTGTCCAAGCTTGCCAACTCGCTTTGAGAACCTCCTGCAAATGATGTTCTCAGGCGACCTCATTCAGTATGGTTCTTTTGTAGACTCTGCCACGAGCAAACAAGGCATCAGCAGCATGGTGCTAACTGGTTGAACTGATCCTAAGGGGGAAGTGCATACATCCGGTTGCTACAATGTGCAAGAATATCCACAAGCGCAACCTCCCCAAATTCTCAACACCTATCGTATCCTCTCGAAAAACCACGCTGCCCACTGCCGAATCTCGGGATCGGCGGGCCGCACCCCTCCCAGGCCGCCAGGCTTGAAGCTCGGGGCGCTCTGCCCGCGGCAGCTCAGAGACTTCGCCTGCACGTCCCATGGCCGGCTTCGAAGCTTCGGTCTATCTTCGGATTTTGGGAAGCGGAGACTTCCTGGGAATCCTCAGTGCTTCCAGGCAAGGGGCTGGAGGGCAGAAACCTTCCAGTGGTTTGGCCTTCTGCCATTTGAGTGCTTGCGTAGGGCGTAGATTGTGCAGTGCAGGCACACAATTGCCCACGTCGCATTGGCTGACAGAGTGGCCAAAACGGAAGCTCCCAAACAAGCCATGTTCAGTGTTTGGAGCAACAGCTCAGACGCCCCTTCCGGCACTTGCCGGCTCATTTGACTCGAATGCCCAATTTCTGCGCCAATGCGGCGCACATATCGAAAGCTTGAAGTTCGGAGGCGGTAGCGCTCCAGTTGCGTTTCGATTGCTTGCAAGAACCAAGTCACTTCAAGAAAAGAAGAAAGAAGACCGCGCTAGCGTCAAAAGCAAAGGCTTCTGGTCGGCTGAGGCACATCAGTGAGACAGCCACATCGACAAACTCAACCAAGCCAATTGAAGTGAGCTAGTGGAATCGCCCACAACCACACCCAACCAACCGAACCGGCCAAACCACATCGACCAAAACCTGCCAGACCCAAGGACCCAAGGGCAATGAAAAAACGCTGAGACAACAAACCGGACCAACCGGACCCCGGCGCCTTCGACTGTGCGACCGCGCCTGCTCCGCCTGCTGGGCCGTGGCGAGCTGCGCCTTGGCCGCCGCCATGGTGCGCTCCACCCGGGGCAGCGCCTCGGCTCGGGGCTCGGAAGGCAAGAGGAAACCAAGTGGTTGGCACCTCCGCCTGAAAAGGGGCACCAAGACAGCACACCACTGAAACACCAAAACAGCCCTTCACACTGAAACACCAAGAGACTCGATGGAGAGTTGCTCTTCGATGGTGCCAATGCCGGATGCGTTTCAAGGATGTTTTCGTGGATGCGACAAGCCTAGCTTCCAATCCACAGGCTTAGATCCTACGACTGGAGAAAGGAGCAGTGCGGCACCACAGAGGCGCGGGCTGCCGTGTCTGCGGCGCTGCACAAGGCCAGCGCTTCCTTTGCCGCCTGCAGCCGAGGCACGAAAAGGCGCCTCTTCATGGAAGAAGCTATGGCGTCATCGCCATTGGCGTGACTGACTATGACTGTTGAGGGCACTGCAAAGATTCTTCTTGCAAGGGCGTGCGTGAAAGCTACTGGTTTCCTCTTGGCATGGGCGTTCAGCGACCCCTGATTTGTGTGGGAAACTTAGTGAGTCCATGTCTCGTGGGTGATTCACTCCTGAATGCCTTAGCACACGTCCAAAACTCCTGGGGTTTGATGCCCCGAACCCGGAAGCCGGTTCGCCGCTTCGCCCCGATTCGCCTGCAAGGCCTGCTCCGGATCGTACAACAAATGCGCCCGCGCCGCGGCCTGGAGAAGGCCCCCCCCCTCCCCGTATGTCATATGCAAAGAGACACGGAGTCCGATGAAATGTTGGCGCCGTTTGGTTGTAGCAACTTGTGAAGAAGTGTGTCCTTAGGCTGGAAAAACAGAGGCGAAATCAAGCCGTTGAGTCGTTGAGTGATGTGCTTTCAAATGGCCGACTATCCACGTTCGGACAAGCAGGCGGAACACGACAACGTGCAGTGTACCAAGTCAGATAGGCTTGGATGGCTTGGTCACTACGCTGGGATCTGTCACCAAGAGAGACGGTCATCGATGCAAGTGTGGCCCAAAAAATCGAGACAAACAAGCGCTGTGCAAAGAGTCTCCTCCCCACATTCGGGCACGAAGCTTCCTGGTGGACTGGAGCCTTTGGTGGACATCACTGTCCCAGCCTCTAAAGCTGCCGCCTCGCCGCCACTGTCACCCACCTGCCCGGGATGATTGAGGCATCTGCAGTTTTCACTCCAAACTTCGTCTAGCCATGGTCACGCTTCCCTAGGAACTCATGAAAAGGTCTAAACTCCTATCAAATCAAGGGGTTGATGGGTTGATGACCATCCCAAGTGCTCTACCTGGCACACAGCTCATGGTTCCATGGACAGCCGTGCTCGTGAGCTGCATTGTTGGGTTGCTTGGGTGCACCTTTGAGATCCCTGTACAAGCACAAGCACGGAGCGCGGCTTCTCAGACGGCGCTGCTCCCAAAAAAAAAGCAGATGCCTTCAAAAGTTGACGGAGTCGGTTCCACCTACATCCGCCATGCAGACAGCAACTTCGCACCTGCCTGCCGGAAGAGCAGGCAGGAAGCGATGCCAGCCTCCGCTGCGCAGTAGGGATCCTGCCATCCGGCAACTCCAAAGCACCAGCAAGCAGCACCAAAGCCGACAGCTGCATCAGCGCTTTCTGCGCAGCTATCAAGGATGACCCGTGATGTTGTCACCGCTTCCTCGCAAGGTTGCTGACCAACCCAAACCTCCCTCTCACACTTTGCAAACATGTAAAGCAGGTCTGCTTCCACTGCACTTTCGCATTTGGCCGCAAGAAGGCATTGGTGGCCTTACCCTTTCGGGAAGCGCTTCATGCCGCGTCAAGCCTTGGTTCCGCCGGTCAACTACCTCTCGGACACCTTCCTCTCATTGTACTAACCGATGTCAGCAGTGAGCGCCCAGTGGAACGAACCATGCAATCCAAAACCTTTATTCTGTCTTTGTTTAGTGCCGCAGCCCACTGCGCTCTCGAAGGCGGCGTAGAAGTCCTTTTCATTTCTCAGGCTGGAGGCCCTCCTTGATGCATGTCGGAAGCTATCTTTTACCATGTTTTGGCCTGTGTTTCCCTCACTGGCTTTCTCAAATCGAGGAACCAGCCCGCTGCATTTGACTCCAACCCCCCGAGCTGTCCTGCATGGAGGCCAGCAACGCCTGGGCCTTGCGAAGCAGCATGGCCGCCTGCATCTCAGTCAGGACTGAATCTCTCAGATTCCAGATGCGGTTCTCACATGGCAGTACCTTCCCCCCTTTCGGCGGTACCTTCCCACTGTCCCTCTGCCCCCCGTATTGCAAGCTCCCCATGACTTCCCCGGACCGCCCCTTCCGCGCCTCCCCGGACAGGTCACCCTGGTCCCGGCACATCCCCGCGGCGCTGTCCGCGAGCTCCCCGGCCGCAGCGGGGTCCTGGGAAAAACCGGGTTGCAGCCGTGTCGGCGGGGTGGCTTTCGGGTTTTGCCCGCTTTTTTACACGGCTTTTGTGAGAAAGAAGCCTGAAAACTCTATGTGGGCATTTGCTGCATCAGTGTGTTTGTTTTAACGTGTCGCGGTTGTGTTTCCCTGCAAGTGTTTTCCGAAAATGACTTGTAAGCATTAGCTTTGCTTTGCTTGCTCTTTGCATACCATCCCAATGATTTGGCCTTGGGATCTTGACGCATCACGGAGTCAACTGAGGGACCTCTTCGTTGATTTTACTGCGGCATTTTGAGAAGCATCGAGCGATTCCCCTATCATTCTCTCCGACAAGTCTGCCTTCTTGCCTCATCGCCTCAACCACGAACGTCAACTCAAAGCGTTGCTCTTTACAGCCTCCACTAAAGATGGCTCGAACGGACAGTAACCCTTGAATCTGTCTGCAAAGTCACGAAGTTGCAGGTCAGCTCGTAGATGGATGCCCACTTCCCAAGTGATTTTCAATTCACTTGTGGATATGTGCTGGCGTCTTGAATTCGTCGCCCAGCCCTCGCCACTGGCTCCTTCGTCATCAAGCCATCTACCAGCACGTTGGTGGCAGCCATCTAGCGGGGCAAACAAGAAAAGCTACACACACACATCTTTGCCGAAGCATCTGGCTGCCACCCGGGGACGGAAAAACAAAGCACCCCAGCTGCAGAGCTCTGGCACCTGTACCGCATCTAAGTGAGAAGGGTGCGCAAACACCATGTGAAGACCACCTGTGTACTAGGAGAAATGAAAGCCTTTCAAAATCACAAAATGAAACAAGGTGAAACGTCAGTGTGGAATGAGGGTGGGGTACCGGGCTCTCTCTCCCCTAATGGAACTTTGATACAGCCATAGGCACCAGCAAAGGCACATGCATAATTCTTGCCTCGTCCAGTTTGTCATGACCAGTCGAAGCTGCTGCCCGCTGACAAGAACACAACACAAGCATGGTTTATCACAAATTGTCCAAGCACAACTCTCTCATAATGAATCCTTGCATGGGAGAGGTAATGAGACGAGGTTTCGCGGTTGTTGGCGACTCGACGGCAAGGCTCCACCATCAACACGAGGTAAATCTGCGCGCCTCCCCATCGTGACTCTTCTGCTGCTGGAACAGCACCAAAGCCTGCCATTGACAACTCGGACTCCGGCCGCCCAAACAGCAGCCCCTGACAGACTTATGATGATCAAGGCAGCATGTCTACCATTGTGGTGGAGCTCAGAGGCTCAGACAGCCGGAATCTGTCCTTTTGCCCAGAGTTTGTGGAGCTGAGCGTTGCCCAGCGTTGCCGCTACCAGCTGAGAAATTGGCGATCTTTTAGATGGCGGAAGAGCGTTTCCAGTGCTCTAGGAGCTGAAGCACATCTGTTGGAGATGTTTGCCCCTTTTTCGATGAGGTATTCGACTGCCAGAATCTCCGAGCCCCAAAATGGCCACTTCAGCTGTGAGTGTTGCCTTTCGACGCCACATGCTTAGCTGCCTCCATTCCAAATCGGACTTTTGCTTACCAGGTTACCGGCCGAAAATCGCATCTCTCCATGCCCCTCAGACCCACCCACCCCGCGCCTCGGAGGCCTGCGTCACAGCCTTCTCCGCACTCCCCTGCACCAGCAGGGCCTCACGGAACACAGTCGACACCCAGCCCGAGTGAGAGGATGAACCAACGGGCCACTCAGGCTTCACCCGGATCAATGTACAAGAAATCGGGGGCGCCGGGGGGGGGGGAGCCGAAAGGTGAAGGCTGCCCTCCGAATTGGAGAGATAGGATGGGCAAGAGGGGCGGGCTCTTCCACGCGATAGGGCACACGCCAGGGCTCTTCAAAGACGCAGAAAGATCAGGGGGTGGCTGTTCATTTCTTGGGTAACCTTCAGCTCGAGCCCCTAAGCACCTAAGCATGGATCCTTGTGATGCATAAGTTGAATGTGAAGCCTTTGACAAATAGATGAATCACTCAGTGCATCAAAAGACAACACAGGGAAATACGCAGCTATCAAGTCAAAGGAATCCAAGATTAAAAAAGGGAAAAAAAACGGATTAGGTGGTTGGTGGCAATAAAATGAGGCACTAAAGCGAAAATGGGCAGCAGACCGCAGGACAACAAAATGTCTAATTGTATGATATGGTTCTCCGCTCCCATTGTGTGCATTAATGCGTCAAACCACAATCAACTGCCGTGCCTGCGGCCCGAGAACCCGGCACAGGGCAAGCAAATTACACAAAACTCGGGGCAAATCGAGGCGGCGAAAGGCTGAATTGGGGCCAAAGACTTTGTGAAGACCAAACAAGACGCACACTAATCAGCCTTGCTAAAGCCCAGGACGTCGCTGAGCAACTTCAATTTCCTGGCCCTCACCCCGCACCCCATATATAAAAAATCCCGCAATCCCTTTCAATGGCAATCCGAGCCACCAACCCAACCCAGGCCAATTCTTCCACGGTTCCATGTCTCACCCGCCTCTGCCGCCACGAGCTTCCAGCCGGCCTTGGAGCCGCCGGCCTCGGGAGACCCAAACGAAACCGGAGCCCGTGCCCTCGAACCCAGCTGGACGCTTGGCGTTTAACTTGGAGCTAGGGCTCGCGTTCGCGGACCCTGTGGGGGCAGAACGCATGTGGCTGAGCCATGCCATGTCCTAAAAGATGTCCAGTCCAGGGTAAACAAGTTGCTTTGTTGCACTCCGCCCGAACCTCTTCACGCGCAGACGTGCGCAGCGCCACCTTTTAAATCCATGGAATTCTGCATAGGTCTAACCGAGGGGGTCTAACCGAGGTCGCTATTGCGATACCGTAGCAAAGCCACGTAGCAAAGCCAAAAAGTGCTTCTCCCCCCACATATTCATTCGTCAGCTCTGCTTCCCCGACCCCTCTGATCTCATACGTGCAATGCCACCCACGTGGCAAAGCGCCAACCCCAGGCCACCATGGCAACTGGAGTTTGCCAAAAAAACAGCGTCGCTGCAGGTGAAACACCCTGGTTCATGCCTTTCTGAGCTCTTGTCTGTTGGCAATCATGGGTGCTTTCGTACTTCCTGGTCTCCCTCAATGCTGACTTCCAGCAAGTCGTGTGAAGGCAAACCCAAATGGCTTTGTGCTAGGCCTGATCTGCTTTTTGAAAGCATGGAAACTAGGGGTTGGGTGCAGCGACGGAAGCAGGCTGCCTGGCTCCAACAGGGCTTACGGCTTGCTCAGGAACCATTCTGAGCACCATGCCGTCGTGCCATTTGCAAGGCTAGAATCCAAAGTGGGAGCCTCGCTGTTGCCGTGGCGGCATAGCCAAGGCATGGATTCCACGGCGGACAAAAGCCCGTAAGTCTTGCCTTCGGCAGACGTCAGGCGCAGGTTGCCAGGCAAGGGTTAGAGAAAGCTCTGGGAGCAGACATGCAGTCCTTCCCAAAGCAATCTCAAGCCTGTACAAGATTTGAAAGGAAAAGGGTCGCTTGGGTTTGGGGAGGCTCTAGGTGGCTGTTCCGACCAGACGATCCCGCACAGTATCTGAGGGCAGATTCTGAGCCGATCTGCCCTGGTCCTTGCAGCCGGGAGCGTTGCGCTTCAGCAACAGGCAGGGGCCCCCCTGTACAGCTGTACAGGACACCTCCCGAGGATAACCTGGGGAGAGCCGTCACAGAGCCACTGACTCCTCGAAAATTCCAAAAGCATACAGACAAACAACCAAAGGCCGTCCACTGGGCCATGCAGGCCACGCCGGAACAGGCGGTCCCATGGCCAACGTGCATCCCTCGTCCACGGTTGCCAGCACAAATATCAGTTTGGGGCGGTTTTTCAGTAGGCTCCTGGCACCAAAATCGTCCAAGCATCTTGCCTCTTCGGAATTGGTACAACTGAGAAGTGTTCAACAGCTCATCCTTCCCAAATTCGGGAGATGCCGTGATTGAAGCCAGTCGGTGGGTTGACATCATGAGGGGTGGCTGCTGCATGAAGGCGATATCAACGGTCACCGGATTTCCGAAAACATGAACGCCCGCCAATGTCACAAAGTCACTTTGCACGTGGCCCAAAACTCTCCGAGGGACGCGTGCCTGGCACCAATGGTCGGAAAAGGAACCGCTGGGATGGCTAAGCCCGGACAGGACAGCTTGGTCGCTGTCGAAGTTTGCACTCTTTTGCATGTCCCGCCCACGGGCTTCAAGAAGTCAAGCACACAAACTACATGCTCAAGAAGAATCGCAGCTCTGGCCAAGTTCACTCACCTGAGCTGAGCCCATCAGCTCCTCTCGACCATGCTGTTGCTTGAAACACTTGCGGTGTTTAGGAATCCAGCAACACAGTCAGACCGGTTGGTTTTCCTCGGGAAACAAAACAAAACGAATTGGGGTGGCTGGTTCCGCCCAGATTGAACAAGACTTGCAGTTGGCATCATAATTCGCTGGGTCAGTGATACAGTCAGTGACGGTTAAAAGTACTCCAAACTTGGGCTTAAGATGTGCGAAAAGTGGGTGCTGCTATCCGGTGATTTGGAGGCTACCTGGTGCAAATAACCAGTGAAAAGTGAAGCTGATCATTCCTATCTTGAAAACCGTCATGCTTTTGATCCGTCCACTCTCTTCCCTTTTGGTGTTCAAGCAACATGCTCCTCTTCATCCTGGAGTGCTGGCTAACCAAAACAAAACGATCTGCCCTCTCCCTTCCAAGGTACTCTCAACGCCTGGCTTCTGCACATCGGCAACGCCTAGGCTTGCAACTTGTCCAACCGAATGCCAAGCGTTCAGCTGTCCAGCTTTAAAGTGGCAACAAGCTTCAGAGTCCAAATTGGTCGTGAATCGACCTTCATGTGAAACAACTTTTAGTCCACCTCACAGAACAACCGGCTGCAGGAATCGCCACACGAGGTCAAGCAATTCTTCCTCCGCCCCTCCACTACCCTTTGATCTTCAAACCTGAGGCAATCGGATTCTTGAGACCACGACATTCAACAAAAAACGGTGCTGAAGTGGTGCAGTGGGACATTTTGGACATGACCCAAAGACTTCGCTGAACCTGCCAGGGTGCGATAGTACCAAGCCTTGGCCAGGGGGAAGCCATTGAACTTGCATCCTGCCTCGCGGGATGTAACAATGTTCGCTCGACTGTTGTGACATGTATTCCCCTGCCACGCCCGACGCTAACTCTATGTCAGAGCCTTACGGCTCACGGAAACTCCTGAAAGCCATTGGCATGGATGTGACGCTGATTGGCCAGCCCCAGGACCAGCAGCAGAAGCCCGGAGGAGAAAAAAAAGCAGAGCATACATGCCGGTGCCATGCTTGCACTCTTTGAAACCTTTTTTGGCTGAGTGGTCGCTTTCTTGGAATTTTCTGTGGCATTTCAAGCAACACTAGATGCGAATCGTTTGGAACGGTATAATGGTGGTGACAAGTGGGTGAAAGCAAAAATCCGGTGGCAAACAAAATCCTTCACCTTCCTCATCAACCATCCAGTGCGAACCACCAGGCCACCTAAGCCAGGAAGAGAATCACCAAAACCAGAAGCCAGTGCCTTCTCCTATGGCCAAGGCCAGAAGCATGCTGATAGATCGATCCATCCATCTCACCAAGGCGCCGCAGAGGTGTAGGCCCCCATGTTGCGCCACAGGATCCACTCACCCTCTTCCAGCTCGGGCATGGTGTGCTTCTCCAGCACAACATCGAAACCTCACCGGAGCTATTTGCGAGTTCCACGTTTGAGGTGCTTGAAAGGGGCTAAAAAAAAGAGGCTATGACTACATGTTTGTCAAATCAATGTGCTGCAGATCGCCCGGGCTTTGCTCCGTGTTGGGTAAGCAAGCCACAAAAACACCGTGCTTCAAACTTCGAAGCTGGCTGTCGGATTCAGCCATCAAGAATACATGCAGCTGGTGCCGCTGGATAGCAAAGGCAGGCCAAGTCAATCACTAGAAGTTGGCAAGACCTAGTTACAACGCGAGGCCATCCGGAACTGACCTGAGTCCGACGATCAACGAAATGGACACCCTGGTCACTGGTCATCTTTGACAGAAGTATTTGTGACCTGGCACCGAAAAGCGCGAAGTATGGCAAATCGCTGTGCGACCAAATAAACTTGCAGCGCCACAGCATACAGCAGGAGCGAACCTCTGCGCCAAAGAGGGAGCACAATGCAACGCCGAGCACATCTATCTGCACGGTATATTTCAGCATGTTAAGACTAAGCGTGATTTCGAGCATCTCCTGAGGATTTAAGGCAAAGCAAGTAGGATTGAACTCACAAAATGACAGCATCGAGCACCAGAGCAACGATATGCAGTGCTACACAGCAACAGTGGAAGGCACGGCCACCAGGAAGCAAAGGAAACCACTACGAGACAAGCATGCTCCAAAATAGCGCAGAGCAGCGCCTGAGCAAAGAATTTGGACAACATACAACAACCCCCAGGCATCATCACGGGTCAAATGAAACCTGGCTTAGCTGAAGATCAGTGCAGCACTGCGCCACAACGCGCAATGCCGCCGAATCAGTACAGAGTGACGGCGTTAAATCACCCCGAATTCAATGCAAAAGACAGCGTGCGCGCAACTGCGCTCAAAGAAATGGCAAAGTCAATGTGGCTAGCATGCGTACACTTTCGCATCCAAACAGTGCCGCCTACAGAACCTTCCACCGTGTAGTATTGACAGACATGAACTTGCTCTTGGCGGAATTTCTGACACCCACGTACCATAGCGGACAAACCTCTGTCTCCAAACTGTTTAAGCCGACCGCAAAAAGTAATTACAAAACCAACAAGGGATGCATAGGCCGACTCTCGAATGCTCAGCTGCTGCGTAATGCATTCCCAACCGCCGGGCCCCGTTTTTTTCCGAGGCGCCATCGCAGGTGGGCCCGAAGAGGGCGCAGGGAACCTCCGGGCCCTCGTGGGACCTCAGCGGCTCGGGCTCCACCGAGACGTGGTCGTAGATGATGCAGTTGAAGGAGCCGTAGAGCCTCCCAGAACCGGAAAAGCGGAGAGGGAAAGAGGGGACCAGGAGACCAAAGGGGACCAAAAAAAATAACATGACGTCAGTCCAGTCATGTTTTGTTAAGAAAAAAACAACACAACCACGACGTCAGGCCACTTAGTTCTGATGGAAAAGAAGGGGGAGCTTGATCAAATTCATCTTGCAGGTCCGCTTCTGTGGCCACACTGTGCGGACGAGTTCTTACTCGCGACCCTTGCCGTGTATCTTGGCAGAACGAGACATCCACCCCATCCCTTCATTCCTCGCCCGTGGCTCAAAGCCGAGGTCCCGGCCCGTCGTTGAGGTAGTAACCTCGGCTTGGCCAAAGCGCCTTCTCAACTCAAGGCTTGCCTTCGGTTGCCTGGCCCCGCCTTCCTTTCGGCGCTTGGTAAAACGTCCCTCCGGACCATGCAAAGCACGGGCTGTGTTCAAGTTCATTCATGCCGTGGTTTCCAGCCCAGTCTATGGAAGCCTTCGCTGAGCGGCGACACACCTCAGAACCGCTCTCCGCGTTCTCGTCTGTGGCTGGGAGCTTTGCCTTGGCATAGACCTTCCTGAGCCAAAGATATCCAAAGATAGCCGGCCAAATTGCCAAAACACCCGAAGGGCTTGCGAAACCTTTGCGTAGCACGAAACATGTCGATAAATCCATATCAAAGGGGGTCCTTCCGTTGGCCCAGAAAAGGTGCTTGGACTTGGCTGTAGAGTGGCGAGCGAACATCTTGCGAGCTGAGTATCCAAAGCTGATACATCCCTTGCTTTTAAGGTAAGCCCAGGTGTGCAAACAATGACCAATGATCGGGACTTCACCCCACTGAGAAGCTGCCAACCAGTGGCACCAGAAATTGGTGCTTCCACACAAATAAGGCTGAATCCTGGAAATCGGGCGAACCGACCGCCAGCTGACTGAGTCTTATCCAATCAGTATAAGCAAAACTGGATAGCATGGGCCATCATGGGCCACATCAAACTGTAAAAAAACAATTGCCCAAAGTCCAATCGATCTTGGGACACAGCTCGTGTTCTCCCTGGTTCTCCCTTCAAAAAAAACACCTCTCCGAAGCTGCGCAACCCAGGCTCGTCAGCAGATGCGCCGAGTGCGCCGCGAAGAACCGCCCCGGCTCCGCGATGAGGCGCAGCTGGCGGGCCGAAAACAACAACTTGCCGCCCGAGAAGGGCGCCGCGTGGGTGTGCCAAGGGGCACCAAATAGTTGGTGGTCTTTTCTCTTTTTTGGTGTTTTCGTTTCTTTTGCCTTTTTTTCTCCTCGGTGAATCAACCCCGAAAAGGATCCGAACTGTCAGAGACAAGTGCGTGGGGGTGTGTGTGTGTGTGTGTGTGCCATGAACAGGATTGGGCTCTCAAGTTGGCCTGGCACGCGCGAGTGCAGGGTTGGTTTGATTGCTCCCTTCACCGAGGCCTGCCTTCGTGTGGCGTCGCCATGGTACAAAGCCGGTTTTGCCGGAGCTTCTCGATTGAAAAAACGCACCCGCGCAAAGGAAGGGTTTCCTTATGCCCCGGATTTTGCCCCAGAGTCTCTTTTGCCCGTCTGAATCTCAGGCCACGCAGGCAGTGAGGCTTGGGGATGCTCCCCTCATTTCACCGGCATTTGCCACTCTCAAAAACAGGGCATGTGTGTTTGCATCCTTCTGATGCGACTCCTTCCAAACCCCCTCCAAACAAGCTTCTTCCGGACAGCCTCGGGGTACTCGCTACGCGGGAAGAGGCGGCCCAATTTCTCCGCAATGCCGGGCGCAATCCTTGGCACACCAGTCACGGGCCCAGAATCTCGTACGGTCACCAAACACGTATGGGTCGGAGGTAGGATCGGTCCAATGTGCATGAAAGGGTTCTCACAAATGCCGTGATGGACCTAGCCACCTTGGAGAATGGACCAAGGAATCTCGCAACTTTGCGGCTCTGCTCAAGGCTTCACATTCACATCGCATGTCGGCGCCTGTGCCACTGCCAAAAACCCGCGGAGGCGATCCGCAACTCAGCGCCGGGCTTTTCGAAGCCGGCCGTGTCGCCCGGGTAGCCCCCGCCGATGTCCAGCACCCGCATCTCCTGGGAAGCGAGGGTTCCGCTGCGACCCGCCAAACGCAATGTGCGGCCAGCGAACCAAGCAGCTGGCTAGTCTCCGAACTGGATCTCCATGCGGGCAGCTTCTTGGCGCTGCTTTGCACTTGCGATTGAACTTGAAGTGTCCAAGAAGATCACTGTGTGAAGAACAGCGCACTTTTCGAAGGTGCCAGCTTCACAACAGACACGCGCCAACTCCCGCGCTGGCTCCGGAACCTGCTCTGAGTCTAGAGCTCTCCAAGCTCAGCCCGAAACACACGGCCGCGTCCTGCATGCCCCGCTCCTTTGCCAGTCCTCAGGTTTGCTTCAAAGTTCCGAATTCGCGTACAAGGGAAGCTGTGCCCCAAACCAACGTCAGAGAGTCCAGGTTCGTAGTCATCCGGTTCCCACCCCCAGTGTCGCCAACAAAAAGCACCCTGCCGGTGCCACTGCGACGTGACTGAGACTCCTCCCTTCGCCTTGCACCCGAGTCACTCAGTCCATGCGCCACTGTACGCCCCTTTCTCTTGGATGCCCTGTGAAGTCCCGGAATTGGACCCGAAGCAAAACTTGTCACCCAGAGCAGTGCCGTATCCATGTGTTGACTCAAAAGGTTGCATCAAGAGCACCTCCCATGCAAAGCAGCCTTGCCGGTTCCGTCGGATCCCTCGGTCCCTCGGTCCCTCGATCCCTCGATCCCCCGCTCTCCGCTTCGAGGCGCGGAAGACCTCCTTGGCGTCCAGCAGCGCCTGCTCGAAGCTCTCCGGGTCCTTGCAGCCTGCAGGGCATCTGATCTCCGGGAGAGGAAGAGGAGAGGAAGGGCGAGGAAGAGGACCATGGGGCCTGGCTTGGGGCCCTTGCAAAAGCGCTCCCGTGCGGGAGAACACAAGTTGATGATTCTCTTCAGGACGGTCAGACCACTCGGCAATGCCAAAGACCCCAGGGCGTGCCTGAGCCGACGTGGAAGGACCTCAAGTCAGAGGCCGACTTTGAAGGGCGCTGCTTTTGGAGGGCCAAGATGGCACATCTTGACAAAAAGAGAAACTCCAGGCTGAAGAAGAGTTGGATTGTCATTCCACTGTCAAATGTACGTGGGTCTGTCACCAGCTATGGTACATAAGACAAAGCAAGTGTTCATGCAACAGTACTGAGTGCCTTCAGCAAAATACTGTGGATGGACGAAATCCTGCACCACCTAAGAAGCCCTGGAATGATGATTCCCCTGTAAATACCAACGAACACTGGCTTCTCATGGTTTCAAACTCGTGCAGGATTCCGTCCATCCACAATACGGGGAAGGACCATCACTTGCTTCAGCTCCCTTGAAGTAAGGGGACAGGCAGCGTGCCAAAAGCGCCATACACGCCCGTGCCAAGAACCTTTGGCGAATATGGCTGCATGTGTCCAAGGATGTCCACCCTTCTCTGGGCCTGTCATTTGTTCATCAAAGTCACCCCCAAAGTGGTAGGTTAAAGAAAAACTCCCCGCAGTTTCTGACTTTCAGAGACTGTCTGACTTTCATGAAGCCTTGAAAATGAACATCCCAGAATCTGGTATTTCCAATAGCTACACTTCAAATTTCAGCCTATCAGGCTCCGTGCAAGCGGAAGCTTGGCTTTTTTCGGCACTGCACCGTAGCCATCTCACTCCCCTGAGAGCAGCCCCTCTTCTTTCCTCTTTCTCAGTATGTTCAGTATGTTACATGCCCGCAAATCCTCATGGCATAAAGCAACAATCGCCCAGTTCCTCTCTGGTCAGCGCCGCTCTCCTTCTGAGGCCCCCCACACCCCGGCGAGGTTCAGCTTTAGCTCCTGGACGCCGTCTTCGGCTTCCACACACCCAGGGTTGCAAATCCTTTGGGCTAAACCAGGACAGCGAGGTGCAGCATGTGCACGGAAGGCATCACGTGATGGTAGCTTCAGACCTCTGCCAACCCTTGAGCTCCTGCTATCCCCGCTATAGCTTCCAGTGCTCAAAGGCTCAAGGACTCCTTTCTAACTGCCGTGTGTGTTGCTAGATGGTCCGCAGAGGGAATCATAGAATCTGGGTACTCCAATGTGTAGTTCTCAGGGGTTCATGGCAACGGCCCCGGTTCATGACAACGGCCCTAGGAAGCTCTAGGAGTTGACATGGTCCAGCTTAGTACGCCTGTTATTACGCAGGCAAAGGCCTCTTTGGGCAATGGCTGAAGTGTGTCGCCTGTTGCTGTGTTTCAATTGGATTCATGCAAACTTGTGTTTGGCAAAAAGAGGCCACAATGCTCAGTGGCACCACCGAGCCATACGGTAGCTTGCCCAGTTCCGCTAGTCTAGTCGTCCTACAAACGAGAACAAACCAACAATTGTATTTCGAGGTGTCGAGCTGTTTTTCAACCATTTTTGTGCGACTGGATGGACTTGAACAAAAGAACTCTCCCAGCACAGTGTTTCCGAAGACAAGAAGCCCCCATGTCCGTGTGGGCAATCACATCTGTTTGGCTTTCCCAGCAAAAAGGCTTGACCGGTTGACCGACACACTGCACATCCCCGCTCCTGCACCATGCCCAGCAGCTCGTTCCACATGCTGCTCTTGGCCCCGAACTTCAGCGACATGGGGCACTGCGCCGTGGAGTCCTGGCGCGGTCCGGTGCAGAAGGAGCCATGTCGACATGGACATGAGACGAACAAGCGAGGCGCCTGGTGTTTTGTGGGAAACTTCGTGAAACCCCGTCCCCATCTTGTCCCCCATAAATGAATCTTAGACTGCTCGGTAAATTGACCCCAACCTCACGTGCCACCCTTTGAGAAGGATGCCAAGAGCGTGCTCGATTTCAAGCGGGCAAAACTAGACCTGTGACCGAAACAGCCCTTGGCAAAGTCCTGCTAAACACACAACGTGCTTGTCATGGCAGGGACGAACACACAAGTCAGACACACAAGTCAGCACATGCTTGACAAACACAGCTCAACTGCATGCAGCATGTGCAAGGACAGCGAGACTCATATGGTCCCATGGTCCCAGGTTGGCTCTTTTGCCATCCTTTCTCAGGATCTTGCAACTTAACTTGGAACCTGAAGACTCCAAAAAGGTGATGTCCACAAAAAAAAATGGAGGAAATCTGGGGCCCAAGTCACAAGTCGGGTTCTATGGGCCCTGCGCCCCGGGCCCCGGCCCCGGCCACGCGCCAAGCGCCTCACAGACCACCCGCAGCAGCAGCTGCGCCTCCGGGTTCACCGCGGCCACCTTCCGCAGCTCCAAGTCGTTGTCGAAGGACATCAGCTGGACGCCTGCGCCAGGCGACGGGAGCGAAGGGACACCCGGGGCAGCCGGGAATTGAAGGGGTAAAGCGCGCCAAGCGTCCCGGAAGGCCAGGGGTGCTTTCCCGCAAAGCGCATGGCGCGCCACGCGTCCGTTGGGTCTGTCCCCTCAAAGCCACCTGACAATGGGTTCCCTCACTCGGCTTGTTCGTGGAGAGCCGCCCTCGTCGTCATTAACATCATGTCCACACCGCCTGCTTGCATTCATAGCCAGGCAAGTACCCAGCACGACAGACTCTTTGAGCTTCTTGGGACTAGCATCAGCAGGAAACATTCAGGCCGCTTTGCTGTTGGTGTTTTTCTTCTTTCTTGGAGCCAGAGAGAGAGAGAGAGAGAGAGAGAGACAGAGACAAAGGCAGAGAGAGAAAGCGAGAGAGAGAGAGAGAGGGGGAGATGCAGTAAGGGCCATTCGGATTTGCTGTTGGCTTCTTGTCTAATCATTGGGTAAATTTGGGGGACCGTTGGGGAAGTAAACTGGCTAAAAGACTCAGCGCCAATCCTACCCCCCAACCAACCACGCCAAGCTGTCCAGTCTCATCAGTCTGCTATTCTAACTCACCAGAACATGCCACCCAACCAAGAATGCAATTTTTGTCTCTCCGCCCCCCTCGACTTGCCCGCAGCACCTTGGTCCTTTGCAAATGCGATGTGCGACCGTGGCTTGCAGGGGTGCGAGTACCTCAGCCAGCAAAGCCACACTGCGAGAATGAAACCTTGGAGAAAGGTTGTTCAAAGGTTGAGTGTCTACGTCCGCATGGGAACCCATGGACCCTTGGCTGTTTTCCCACAATCAAGCCGCAGCTTTCAGCCTTCAAGCTGTCCAAAGCCTTGGGAACTCGCGTCTTGTTTGCATCAGAAATCCAGCGGCTAGCGGGCTAGCAGTGGCTTCCTCTCTGTCAATGCGTGCTGATATGGGAGGACTGCCACGCCTGGATTTTACACCAAGCAGAGCAGCGCTTTGAGATGTTCCCTGCAAACAAGCTTTGGTCGCACGGTAGTGGGGGCCAAGCCTTTCTTCCCAACAGCCACAACTCGAAGACTTCGCAGGCTGCCAAAGGAATATCACAACATGTCAATGGCAAAATTTTGGTAGAGGCGATTTGCAAGCATCTGCGTGGCGAAAAACAACATGCCACCGCTCTCTCTTGCCAAGCCACACGATGTCCTCTGGGTTCACGCCGAGCTCCAGGACAGTTTGCATCTCCTAGCACACCGCAGCGCACGCTTTGAGCGAGTTCAATCAGAGTCAGCAGTCAGGCAGTCAGGTCAAAATGCCTCAGCGGAAGCCTAGCCCGCAAACTTGCGACTCCTGGCCTGCAAGGTGGCACAATCGAAGCCGCAGCCGAGCTCGAGCAGCTGCTTGATGATCTGACCGGCTTTCAGACTCAGAACCCTCCCCCTGCCCCATGGCTGTGATGCTGATGCTGTGCCACTGCCAAAACTTAAGGATCCCAAATCGCAAGACCTCCCAGGTAGCTGTTCATCACATGCGCGCAAAAGCGCGGAATCGAAATCCTCCTCGCCTGCTTGTCGGGGCAGCACTTCACCGCGTAGTGCGGCCGCACCTGGGGCAAGTAAAGCTTCCAGAGCTCGTTCTGGCGCTCCACCTGGGAGCCGGAGATCCGAATGGAATGCCTTCCTCAGAGCCGGGACCAAAAACAGAACCTCGCTCTGGGTGCAGCGTTTTCTCTACACCAAGGCCATGCCATCAAAGACTCAAGCGCTTTGGGCTCGCTTCCCAAAATCATCTAATCAATGCTGGGCATCACCAGGTTCAGAGTGCAGTGGGCGCTGCACCCCGCATCTCCTGGTCTGTGTTTTGTTCGTTTGGCAATTTGCAACCCAACATTCCCCTGTTGTCCAAGCCGGCTGAGGTCAAGCAAAAAGGACCCAAATGTTGTGGGACTGACGTATACATGTTTCAAGAATGGTAGTGCCTGCCTTTCCCGAATAGCACGTGCATTTGAAAGAGAATAGAAAGGTTAACGTGCAAGGCAGCGGCATTGCCGAGGTCCACAACCTGCACTGGCCTCAGATGGGCGCGGGTGAATTTAACACGTCGCACAGCCAGCAAGAAATCCTGTGTCTCATTAGTTGAATCTCTAGTCAAAAAAGTTTGTTGAATTTACTATTTCTATATTCACCCGAGCTGTCCAACTAGCCGACCAGCGAGCAAGCCAGCAATAGAACAAGCGGTACTATGTGTCTTGGGCTTGTTTCTGTGGGTACTCAAAACTCTCACTGTCCAGCTACATAATCAGCCAAGCACGCAAGTGGGTCAAAAACCACCTTGTCGACGTGAGGTCTCCAAGCGGCCCAGAGAGTTTTGCCCAGGGCCGACCACAAAAGAATGCGTCTCCAAGTAGGTGAAAAGGTGCTCCAAAAAAATGGCTACGCTCAAAACCGAAGCAACCCCAACCTGACAAAACCCGAAAAAGAACAACAACCAAAACTGACGAAAAACAAAAACAATTCTTGCTTCCCCAGTCGCTCATCTAGAGCCTCTCCGAGGTGTCGGAGCGCCTGCTTGGCCGCAACGCGCACGGCGTCCTGCGAGAAAAGCGCCCAGTCTCAGGTGGTCTCTCGAAAGTTATCCCCTTGAATGCCTTTACTTTTGGCTTCTCTTTGGGTGCCCACCAGAAAAAAATGGGGCCCTCCCCCCGCCCCTAAACTCGGTGCCAGTCAGCAAAAGTTGGATCGTTGTTTAGTGGTGGTTCATCCAAATGTCCATTTCCCACTGTTGGTGGGCACGGGCAGGTTTCAAGAAGAACCACTATGAAGGATTTCCTCTTCAGCTTTGGCTTGCAACCGAAAAGGGGTCCCCGTATCGGTCTGGATTGGCACAAACAACACATCTCCGGTCCGAAGTTTGCCCCTTGCAACGGTCGTCGCAGCATTGCATCCGTGTGTTTGTGTCTGAGCAAGGGATACCAGCCCGGCCGCGTGGTTGAGCTTCACAGGCAAGTGCGATCAAACCAGCTTGCTGCCACTGGAAATACAGGGGAAACAGCGATCCTGGGCACCAAGCTGAGAACTGTGCAGTTTTGGGCTCGGCTCGGGTCCTCGCCAGGCAATACCTTCAGCATCTTGACCTTGGACCTGGCATGAACTGTGAAAAAAACTGGCTTGTGGGACGAGGGGGCTGGATCTTACAAACTGTCAACAAATCGATTGTCTAGGGTTCACAAGTGGGGGTACTCCTGCCACAGATCTGGACCAAGAAAGACCTGCGTCCAGTGTTGTCATGTCGCATGGCGACTCAAGCACGGTCAACAAGCCTGTCTGTACGCACCATCTCAACAACACCTAAACTGACGGCACCACTTAAGATGCAAGGAGAATGCAATGACAACAAGGGCTTGCCAGGGAGGAAAATGGCCCGCTTTGCCTTTCGACTTGATTTCCTGCATCATTTGTTGGCTGCAGGGCCGAGCGCTTGTCCGTCAGTTAAAGATTGGAACCAGGCCGTGTGATTGTTGCGAGCAATTCTGAAGCTGTAACATTGACGTGGCCATGGAAAAAGTCAGCCACAGCTCAACATCTGAAAAGCAGCTGCTTTGTCGGGGTCTGCCTATTTGCCAGTAGCTTCCGAACCTCTTCATAGCTAGTGCCACTGCAAAAGTCAAGACATTCTGCCCCAAGTCCATCATCAAATATACTGACCAACTCACTCACTCGCTCGCTCGCTCACTTAAATCCCTCCATCGGTCCAGTCAGTCAGTCGGTCGGTGGTGGGTCGGTCAATCAGTGAGTCGGTCAGTCAGCCAGCCCAAACAACCAAACAATTACCTGGTCAACCAACCGATCACTTAAACAAACACCACAAGTTCTCAAGAACCATCAAATTACGTCTCAAATCAACTCAAACTCTCCAATCCTAGCCAATTCAATCAAGAAAAACAAATAATGAATCAAACAAGTAATCACTGACTCCCTGGCTAACTCGCTGACTCGCTGACTCACTGACTCGCTGACTCGATGACTCGATGACTCGCTGACTCGATGACTCGATGACTCGATGACTCGCTGCCTCGCTGACTCGCTGACCCACTGACCCACTGACCCGCTGGCTGACTGCTGACTGACTGACTGACTGACTGACTGACTGACGGACTGACTGACTGGCTGGCTGGCTGGCTGGCTGGCTGGCTGACTGACTGACTGACTCACTGACTGACTGACTGACTGACTGACTGACTCGCTCGCTTGCTCGCTCGCTCGCTCACTCACTCACTCACTCCCGCACACGCGCACTCACTAACTCACTCGCTCAGTTGGGCCAAGCAGCAAAGCAGGCAAGCAGGCAAGCAGCGGGCAACCAGCAAGCAACCAGCAAGCAACCAGCAAGCAACAAGCTTTCAAGAGACGAGAAAGTGCAAGAGACAAGAAACAACACACATGGGCAAAAGCAACGTCCCTGTCTGTTGCAGCGAAACGACTCCACCCATGCATGCCTCTTCTTGTAGCCCCTTCCGTCGGCGCACTTCTTGTCGCCTGCGAATACCAACCTTCACCTACCCCGCTGCCACATGAGTGATTGAAATGTCCGTCGTGGGCTACTCGATGCTGTCCTTAGGAGAAATTGTGGAAGATGGCCTCGAGGGGCGTGAAGCAAGCAAGCCTAGACTGCCAGCTCGACTCACCCGCACACCCCACGCTCCCACCCACGTCCGAGTTGACAGGCGAAAACTTGAGAGGGTGCAGTCCAAATGGCAAACTGGGTGCTCCAATCCGTCCAAATGGCAGCAAACAGCTGAAAGCTCCAATCCAGTGGCTTCAATCTTCACTGCGTGCTGTCTCTCCGGCTGTGGGCCCACCCGTGCTTCGGACAAGCCCGGCAAATCTGAAGTCACGAAGTCAATGATGTGTGCCATGGTCGCAACCTCTCATATTGCCTTGTCATGCTTCCCCTCTCCAACAATGGCAACAAGTGTCCTACGAGGTAGGACTGCCTGCTGTATGAAACCCGTGCCGGCAAAACGATGAGCTCCGAACCAGTGGCGTGGCTCTGTGGCAGCTTTGGACGCACGAGGTCAAATGACATGCCCTGCCTCTGGAGCAGGCCCCGCGATCCTCGGCACTGGGGCTGAAGGAACCAAAGCTGAGATACAAAATCATCCTGCGGGAGGAAAAAAGAAGAAGAAGAAACAAAGAAGAAAAAAAAAAACGGATTGCAAGCCCGAAACTGCCAAGCCTATTGTGACAATGCTCTGTTTGAGCGCCTTGTCAGGGATCAGCACGTACTAGGCCCGACCAGGGGGTTCTGGTGACTGTCTGACTTTGCATGAGTTTCCCTGCATAAAATGTCAGTTTTCGTCTTGCTCCTTTACAAAACATCCAAACTGGAACCTGGGTTCACTTGTACACGGGCACTATTCCGGAACATATCAGCAAGTTTGACTGTACGATCGGCTACAAGGCGGCCAAGTCTAACGCGGCACTACCAACCATTCCAGCTTAGATTCTTACTCTGAACCTGGCCAAAATCCAGTGAGTCCCTTTTGGCTGACCGCGCTGTTATGTTGTTTCCAGGATGAGCATCCCCGGGTCCCCCCTCATTTACAACATTGTCTTGGTGTTGTCTTTTCGAGGGAAACCGAAAGGAACCTGTCATTTGCGGGTCCAATGCGTTCGGCTTTTGGCTTCTTGCCCGCCGAGCTGCCATGATCTTCGAGCAGCTCATCCTGGGTGTCCTCGCCAAACGGCGTGGCACCTGACAAAGCAGGGTGGGAAAGCCCTCAGAAACTCGAAAACCTACAGACACCTACAGAAAACCGATGGCAAACCTGAAGCGGGTAAGCGGTGATCTTGCTAGCCTCTGGGGGAGGTATATGAAAGCTTCCAGCAGTTTGCACCGAAGCGCCTTTGGCGTCCCGAACAAGCCAGTCCTGATCAAGGCCGACACAGAAATGTTGGGTATGGTCTGCGGAGTGGTGCCTTCAACTGCATGTTGGGCATATTTCCGTTGAGCTTCAGCTCTATGTGTAGTCCAGTCTGACCACACACCAACACGCGCGCACCCGCACCCGTGCAGGGCAGCAGAGGTAGAGCCCACCACCCGCACAAACAACTGCTGGTTCAACACGCAACTCATCTTCGATAGCTTCTTTGCTACGAAAGCCTGCCTTCTCCCAACACCCATCCGACCCATCCCGCCTGGGAGCGCCCCAAAACTCGATGGGTGCCGTGGGGGAGTCTGGCGAATGCCACAGGACAGCAATCCGGGGAGACCCTTGATAGACACATTGATAGGAGACCAACATCAAGCAACGATACAGGCTACAAACAGATATGTGAGGGATGAACACCTCACCCCACCACACACTCAATTTAGATGCATATGGATAAAATGTGAAAAAGATCAAGGGTATCCGTTCCTGACTTTTCTGCAGTCTGCAGCACCCGGAAACACAAGGCTAAACATACCTTCACCAAACCCGGATGGAACATAGGAGCCCAACATGCAAAAGCATGGTGCCCGTGCAGGCAACAGGAAACCAATCAAACCTAGCCTAGCTTTGCGGGCTGAATTGGGGAAAGGAGTATATAGTATGAGCATGTGCGTGTATATCTTGGGCTGGTCGCCATCTCGGTCTCCGCTCAATTACTAGGTGATGGCTCCGTGCCAAACGAGCATGTGCAAGAAGACACATACTCGACCAGGTCTTCCGTGGACCAACGACTTGGATCCGGCAAATGAATCGTAACAGCTTTTGCAAGATCTACCTAAAAGAATACTCCCCTCAAGGCGAGGGCAGATGTTGTATGCTCATTCACGTGCTCACCGACATCTTAGATTAGAAACAGACGTGGGAAGAAAAACATGTCTGACAAAATGGAACGATTGAAAAAAGCGAACGAAAAGTCCCGTGGCGAGATGTTGCTGCGTGTTGCACGCTACGAAGAACATGTTTAGGCGTGCGGAATCCATCTTTACGTTACTATAATAATTCAGTTTTTAGTTGTTTTTGTATCTTTCCTTTCTTTATTTTTTAACTCTCCACACCCAACCAGCGAAATCTCCCACCCTCCGCAGCCTGCAACTCCGGGCCGCCCGCCCGGACGCCCGGACACGCGAGTGGCCCGTCACAGCATGGGCTGGAAACGGCAGAGGAGCGACGGGTTTTCTTGCGCAAAGCCCCTGGCTCCCTGAAGTCCTTCGCGTTTTGTCTGAAAATTCGGCTGTGCGTTGAAGGGAGTGGCCCGGCTCTTGGCCAAACTGGGGCTTGGATCGCCCGTGTCACTTTGGCCCAAACACGAAGCCCAACAACTGGAAAACTGGCAAACTGCAATTAGCCGGAGCCAACCTTCAAATCCCACTGAAGGAAAGAGAATTTCTCTGGAGCGATGTCCAGAGCACCTTGGCCGTTGATTCAAAGTCAGGTTCCCCAGGCTGCGTTTGTCCACCCCTTCCTGCATATTGCCGACTGCTGATGGCACCCGCCATGCACAAAGTGACGGAGTACGCAGGACTCCAATATGCTTGCCAGTTGTCACTAGGGAATAAGCTGAATCACAAGGGACAGTCGACTGTATCTTCCAACCATTCTAGCCCCGAAATTCTAGTCAAGAGGCAGCACTGGCACTGCAGAGCTAGAGAACTGAACTGCAAATGGCTCCAGGCACCACGCCTTCAGCTGCTCTTCGACCTCCTCTAGTACAGCTTCAGAAGGCTCGCCCTCCTATCGAGCCACATACAAATGTCACCTTCTCGGGACATCTCGCCAGCACCCGTCTAGACACCAGTTACTGCAATTCATCGGCTGCGCATCAAACGACACCTGAGCAGTGCTTTGGGAACACATAAGACGCAACAAATTCCACAAGCCGTTATGCTTTTCTGTTGCATGCATAGCTGTTGAAAGGCTTTTGAAGTTAGAATATCGCTGGAGATATGTTGAGCAGGATGCTTTGGCAGCAATCCCCTTGGCAAACCAAGAAGCCGAATCGTGTGGGACAAATCACCCCTGGGATGATTACCGATGTAATTTCCACTTCGCGTTTGTCTGCCCAGTTTGTTCGAGTTTTTCGAGCCAAATCTTGCCGAGCTTTCCCCCCAGATTTTCCGACTTTTCCTGGCAAGTTCTTCCAACCAGCTCCTCCAAGTTTTACAGCCAATTTGTTCGAGTTGTTCCGTCCAGTTTGCCTAAGTTTGCCCAGCTAGCTTTTGTTCGAGTATTTCCGCGCCAGCCAAATATTTCGAGTTTGTCCGGCGAGTGGTTCCACCCAACTTCTCCAAGTTGTTCCAGCGAGTTGCCCCTTTTCTGGCCCAATCACTCAGACTGCGCATCCGAACGCATCTGGCGTCTGACTGGTTGGTGCCATGTCAGGCAGACTGTATCTCAGACCTGGAGCTGCTGAGCGGAGGATGATGTTCGACAAATCGAGCAACCCCTCTGACGTGTGGCAACAAACAGGTTACAACAAACCCAAAAAAACTAAGTCTCATTGATCCTCGCTTCCAAACCTCCTCTCCTCCCCTCCAAACCAATCCATCAGTCCTTCAGCCATTGCCGCCCCTGGGCCAACACCTCCATGTCCTTGCCAGAGGGACCAATGGGTTGGGCAGGCTCGTAGCCCCAACACCACCATAGACTCATGGCTGTCTGCGAATGCAGAGCTACCACTGACAACATGTTCCAGTGAGCAAAGCTCTTCTCATGAGCTGAATGTCAACTCCAATCAACGTGTGCTTTCCTACGGAATGGTGGTCCTGCAAGCCTGGACTCCATAGCAGGAATCTGCACTTACAAAAATACTGAAACAACCTGTAATGGTCAAAACACATGTCAAAGCCCCATCAAAAAGGCAATGACCCAACAAACAGCGCTTAACTTCATCTGCAAGTGATGGAGGTTGAATTGCTTCAAACCAGCTGCAGGCTGATATAAAAGAAAGCCTAATCAAATCATATTGACAGTCTCGCCAACATTGCACGCAAAGAGTTGACGCATAAACCAACACCTAACGTGAGGGACAAAAAAACACAGAATATGCACACATAATGCAAGAGGTGTCCCAAAACATGACCGGCAACCAGCGCCTGCGGCAAGTGGCAAGGCCACGGCCGCGTTTTGGCCGCTGGGAGCCAAAACGATCCCCGGATTGGACGAGGTTCAAGTTCATTTTGCTTCATGCATCAGTGGGAAAATTGTCTCAAATCAAACGCCAAAGCCTTCTTGCTTGCTGACTAGCTCTTCAATCGGCATGCGCTGACGGTACCCTCTGCTCAATGGACTCTTGCGCGATCGAAAGCTCGCAAAAACGAGACACACAACCTTGGAACCAGAGACCAATACAACGTAACACAAACACAAACCGCAAGGCCAACAATTGGTCGGCCCAGGCTTCGTCACTCACACAAATCGCGGAAAAGCCAAGAAGCTAGATAACGTATGAGGCCGGTTGACACTGGCACCTCTCTCCTCTTTTCTCTCCCCCTTGCTCTTTTTTTCTGGTGCAAGATCTTGCTCAGCGAAACTTCTTACATGCTCACCGCGAAACGCCTCATGGGGAAGTTGCTCTCGCGTGTCTTCGTCCGGGCAGTCTTCCTCGGACGCTCGCAGAACCCTTCCAACTACAGCTGCTGTTTGCAAGACAATTGACCAACAGGTTCCTATTTTACTCTACATTAGGACTTCGCTTGGGAGAAATTCAATAAGAAAACCGGCTTCATGCCTTTACATAACAACAGGCCTCAGTCATACCTGCTGGTGCCCAGAAAAGGATTGGGAACATCATTCATGCTGCCAGGCATCGCATACTTCTGCTCAGGCTTCAGAGCTCGACGGATCTTCCTGGTCTTCTTGGGGCGCAGATCGATGGGCACGTACTTCTTGCCTGCCAGTGGAGCAGGCAAAGCAGGCAAGCAGCTACCTCAGCACGACCTTGCTGCAAAGCGCGCATCCAGCCTTTGTACGTCTTTCGCGCTTCCGCCTTTTGCTTCATGTTGTACACAGTGAGGATCCGGGCGATGGACTTTCGGACGACCTGCACAGCAGGCCGTAGGCCGGCAACGCAAAAGAACGCACTCTCATGCGCCACACGCAAACATACTGCGCGAACGCACACAAAGCAATTCGGCATTGAACATGAGAATGGCAAGCGCTATTGCAGCATGCATCAAGTCGCACATTGAAACTCGACGGTATCTCCGATACCACACTTGAGCAGCTGCGATTGGAATTGGTTGTCCTTCTTACTCTGTACCACTTTGTGACTCAAGAGTCTGCCACATGCACGAACACATCAACCAAGAATCAGGGGGTTTGCCGCCTGCATTGCTGCCTGCATTGTCAAACAAGCCCAAACATCAACCGACGCCACTCCTTGAGAATCACAAGGTCGACAAATTGCTACTCACACCTAGAAAGGATTCATGCCAGGATAGGGACCTTCGTGTCGTTCTTGCCCCATGCTTCCAGCGACCAGCCTTAATCTTCGCCAGCTTCGATGCCGCGCCGCCTGAGACCTGCGTCGAGCAACCTCCGCAAAGATGCATATGTCACTATGTGTCATGTTGAAGAGGTACCCTTTTGGGGTTGTTTGGAAGGAAGGCCAAGGAGAAAGACACGATTCAGGTTGATCTGTTGTCCAAAGCACAAAGAGAGGCGTGTAGCAGAAAGCCCTGCTTGCCATGAAGCAACAGTGGCATTCTCATGGCCTTTAAGCTCAACAGCCTCCATGCCGCATTTTTCTGCCTTGGGAAAAATGCAAACAATTGTTGCAACATGTTCAGGTCACCCCCCGAACATCATCTCCAGGTTGTTCACTAACCAGCAAAAAAAGGCTGCATCTGCATTTCAACCACAAGCCAACATGGTCAGGGGAAACAAAAACGCAGTCATCGAAGAGGCGCTGTTGGAACAACCTAGACTAACAATCATCAGGTTGGGCCAGCTGACATTGATGTCAATGAGGCATTCAGCAGATCCTCCAATTCTGAAGATGATTGCCCATGGACCCATGCTCAGGGACAAAAAATAAGTCAACAAGGCTACAGTAGCCCTGCTCTGCACATCCAATTCCACTGCCTCAAGCCCCCACCCGCACCTTGGCGACCCTGAGTTGGGCCAGTTCGGCCTTCATGTCATCCAACTCCTTCCGAAAGCCGCCGAAGGACGAAAAAGACATGACTTGCCCTCGCCAGCGCAAATGCTCATATGAGATGCATGTTGCCCTCACCCCCACCCCGGATGTCACCCCACTGGTTTCTAAGGTGCAAAAAGAAAGCATCGATTTCATGGCCAACCAAGATTTGTTGTTCAACGGAATTTGGATTTGTGCTCTGCACTTCCTTCTTGCTTTGCTTGATGGGGTGAAGGCGTCGTCTACTCACCATGTTCCACGGCGTTTGGTTGCCGCATTGTCGCGGAGCTCGAGGACCAATTCCTTGCAAAGTTTCATGAAACCCAAAGACTTGCTCAAACAAGTGTTGATTCCAAGGTTTGGTTGCTGGCTTGGAGGTTGGGGGGTGTTGTCCGAAAACCACGCTACTTTGACTAAACAGTGTGGCTGTGGCTCAAACAACTTGTACCAAAATGGAACCCTGGTAAGTGAACCCTGGACCAGACCCATCTGGGTGAATTATAATATTGCACCAGCCTGAAGTAGGTTGGAGGGATATTCCCCGACATAAACCACCATTTGGGGTGAGGTCGTGAGGTTGTGATGGTTCACCCAGAAGGGCCATTCAACACAACGCAAGGTCAGCTTTGGAGAAAGTCTGCATGGGGGACATGAACCAATTGAAAAAAAACAACAAAGTCAGCGTTGGGGCAAGCGAGTAGGAGGCGCTTCACGGCTCCGCCGACACATTTTCAAGATCATGAGGCAGCCTCTCCACACTGCAAAAGCGATCCAGGGAGGAGGCGAGTCTCCATGATTTGCTTGTCAGCAGATGCTGCAAAGACAACGCCTCACCCATAGGGCAACTGGATCTCTGGTTGGCTGACTGGGCAAACGCGAATCGCCGCGCATGAACTGTTCAACCAAACACAAGCGAATGTGTTGTGGCCTTTCCCGTCAGTCTCCCTGTAACAGCCAAGCGAGAACTGGAGCAGTCTCAAAAACCACATGTACTCTCCAGCCCCCTACCCCTCATCCAACAAGTAACTGTCTACGCATGGGTGTTGTTAGATAAGCTCGGTCTGGCAGCTTGTGGTTGGGTCGTCTTCTTGGTGCTCAGTAGGAATGAACCCAATCCCTTTACGGAATCCGCCAGTTGGATGCTTTTTCTTGGGGTCAGACTCCATTTGGTTATGGGTCAAAATTTCGTACCCCCCTGGCTCCTTGAGCAACTCCTTGGAGGTCTTTGACCGCAGCTCGAATGCTTTGACCTGTTCGCGCTGGACGTGTAGCGCGTCTTTACTCCTTGATGCTCTGCCCTCGCCCACAAGCCCCCTTCATGTACATTCAGGTGGCCATGGTTTCGCACCAAGTTCGAGCCGGATCACCCAGACTTGAGAATCACACTGAAGATTGAAATCGCAAAAGTGAACACCATTCCCGCTAGCAAATCCAAGCACTGCCTTCGCCATTGCTCCGTCGCGACAGCGGATTGCTCGATCTTGAACCAGATGCCTGCAAATGACAAATGCAAAAACCAACTAAAACCTCGATGTACCAAACCATGACTTGCCAACATTGTTGGCATAATTCGACCCAAAGCTCAATCAAGTACGATGTTGCAGGCATCATATGATTCCGAGATGTCCATTGGGTGAGTGTGCTGGGTTTGGTACCAAGTTGCTTAAAGTTGCCACGTCATGCCGACCATTCCGTCAAACATTGACTTGACCAACATAATTCGGAATCGATGGTTCAAACTTCACAGAGTACCAGCACGGTTGCATTTAACGTGGTTACGGCCATTCACTTCCTACCTTCTCTCACACCTGCGGCAACGCCAATCCTCTTGCGCGCTGCGCAAGCGAGCTGCGATTCTGCATATATATATATATATATTTTTTTTCTCGTGAGGACGCCCTGAGTTGCCGGCAACCCGGCGAATCTATTTGCCTGTACATCTGTGCAAAGCGAGCAAAACTTCACCCTGGCTGCCTGTAAAAAACGGGTTCTGGACTCCCAGGGAAAGTGTTGCGTTGCAAGGCACGTTGTTTGCATAGGGAATGTGATTTGGCTATGAGGGGCTGGCGCCGGAGTGTGCCAAATAGCGCAAACATGAATGCAACGAATTGAACGAATGAAACGCAAGACGTGAATGGACGAAGAACTGAAACACTGAGGGCCTGAAAGTCTAAAGGGCTGAAGGACGAAAGGAATCAGAGAAATTGTTCATACAAACTTGTTCAGAGAAACTCGCGGAGGGGACTTGTTCAGAGAATTTGCGCCAAGAACTTGCTAAAAAAAAAAAGTGCTGAGAACTTGCAAAGGTCACAGAGACCAAACACACATACATACATGCGGACTACATGTATGGATATACGTCTACATATATGTATACATGCACACCAACACTCACCCCCAGATGTCAATGGCTGCCCGCCCTGTGTGCTCTTACGCCCGCCCTTGAATGGGATGCCTGCCCATTTCAAAAAATTGTCCTGATATGCATGTCTTTCAATATATATATATATATATATGGTCACCCCCCCCCCAGGGCCTACCTTTGCCCTCTTCTAGTTGAAGGTGTCAACTCTACTCTGTGTGCCTCTTTCTTGCAGATGCCTGATAACACTGTAACATACAGTGTTTTTGTTGTTTTCTACCTTCTATGTGACAGCAAATGTCTGACTATTTGAGGCTTGAAAGCCAGCAAAGCGAAAACGGATTCCGTTTTCAGATTCGAGCCTGGCTTTGATTGAATCACTGGTTTTTACAGTGGTTTTGAGTACACCAGGGAAAAACATTGAAAAAATGATGTTTTTGGCAGCTTTGAGCTCTGCAACCTGCACAGACCCAAAAGCACAAAATCTCCTGAAAATGAAAGCTCTGAGACCTGCACATGCCAAACACATCTCCAGACCAAGTTTGGGAGTCTGGGGATATGTGCCCTTGATTTGTTTAGCCACATTTAAGCTAAATCATATTTGGGAATGAGTTACTATTAAAATTTGATTGCAAAGGCCAAGTGATTTCTTTCCAGAATAAGCTATATTCCAATTCAAGCTGTATTTGGGGATGGATTCTTGATTAAATTATTATGTTCAAAAGCTAATTGAACTCTGTCTGCATTAATGTTTTTTGGATTCTTCTGCAATCATTTTTTCCTTATTTGCAAAGGTTTTCCTGTTCAAATTCTGATCTAATATAAACATTATGGTGAATTATGAATGGTGGTGAACTATGTGCTTACTAAATTCTATTCTTTATGCAAATTCAATTCGGATCAAAATCGTATTTGGAAAGGAATGTGTACTTGGATATGTTGGACTCCAGGCTCCAAATTATGAGGCTTGGAGAATCCAACATTTTCCAGATTCTAGGTTTCAGGTGTTTCAAATTGGACATTTCAAGGGATTAGAGATCCAACAAAATGCTGTAAAACACAGTGTTTTGCAGCAGTTGCTCAGATTGTGTTCCCTTGGACCGAATGGACAGCCTTTGATATAACAGTGCAGCAGTGATGACACACACACACAATCATCAACCTTTTAGGACCACATGCCCAAACCACATCAAACAAGGCCTCAAATGATTGTCCTTTTTTTCCCAAACACCAGTCTCCACTTGCTACGCAATAAGCCCACAGATGGTGAAAAAACTTTCAGGAAAGTTTAAAAGAGTGTTTGACAAGTTTCCCGCGTCAAGGCAACAACACCCTACGAAGTGTTCATGGTATCGTTGAAGGGCAAGGGGTAGCTTGGTGGACAAGGGGTAGCCGGTGCTTTGCTACAAACTTGTTTTAGGAATCCAACCTAAAACAACCCAACCCTTGATACGAACGAGCGCGCTCCTTTTGTAACCGGGTTGCGCTGGAGTCTCCAGAGCGGTGCACTGCCGTGCACGGCTTCAGGCTCTGTTGACCCCCGTGGTGAAACGTAGCATCGCGCTGGAGTTAATTCCTCGATTGCTTCTTCGCACACCGGTGCCGAGGAGCTGCAACGAACCTTAGTATGGGAGTCCCGTGGATTGGTTCCTAGGGTTGTCCCGAAGCACTGCGGTGCTTGGCGATGCGGCGCCAGTGTAGCTTGACTGTCAAGCCAATGGGCACTTAAGTGCTCGAACAGCGGTCTGTGCACAGCGGTGCGACATGGTGAGGTAAATGTACCTTAGTGTGCGGATTGCTCGCTGCGGCGTCGAGCAATTGATCTTGGTGCCTGACCCTGCGGGGCCGGGCACCAGTCACTGGGTGGCGCGCGGTTAGACGTCCTGCGCCTTAGTAACGCAGTGAATGATCATTGGGCACAAAGAAGGCTCGCGGCTGCATGTGCCTGTACGAGCACAAGAGTAAAGCCGCTTGCCTGGTCAGAAGGGAGGGTGGGTGGGTTTCAAAGATGGAAACCGCATGGTTGTTTAGCTTGGAGCAGAAATGGCCACAAGCGGTGTAGATTCACATGCCCCTACAACACGGGGGAACAAACAACCCCCAGCGTTTTTGGAACATGCACTGCTCCAACCTAAAACAACCCAACCGATACGAACGAGACGCGCTCTCCTTTACCGAGTTGAGCTGGAGTCTTAGCTGACGCAGAGCGGTGCACTGCCGTGCACGCTTCAGCTAGGGAAGGCTCTATTAACCACCTGTTTCCAGCAGGGCAGCAACGCCATATCTGGGTCGCTGGAAGCGACTCCCATGGCTTGTAGCAGGCGCAGCCGATATGGCTGGCCTGGGTTGGGCTCCCAGCATTCGGGCGGTGCGTGCGAAGTTCAATGCCTTGAAGCGAGCATGGCGCATTCGATCCCCTCTTCTTGCGAGAGAGGCACGCCCTGCACAAAAGGGGTTGTGCAGAATATCGTGTTGGGCATTGCCGTCCAGGTCGAAAGGTTCAAAACATGCCTTGCTGAGTTTTTGCACGGCGCTGTCACGGGGTGGCATCGGCCTGCAAAAACCCTGCGGGGCTTGGCTGCATGGCTGGGCAGCGCGCTGGCTTTTGTTCTTGACCTCAATTGGGGGTTTGCACGATGCCAGTCCGGGTCAGCGGCCGCTGACTGGCTCGGACCTTGTCAGGTGTGATTTGGATGGTCCTTGGGCAGGGTGGGGCTTTTGACATCCTGGCACGGCGCAAACGTGGGCGAACTTGCATTTTTCTGCCTGGCATTTCCCTACCTGATATCGTTTGCACACCTTCTTGCCCTGGTACAATTGTATTCAGTCGCTGCTCAGTGTGAGAGCTTGGCGGTACCTTTCCCTTTGCCTTTTTGGGCTGTGTCTGCGCGGGCGGCGCAGGGCGCTTGTCACGCGCTCGGGGAGTGCGAGGCGGGGCTGGTGGTGGTGGAGGCTGACGTGGCACTTTGGGTCGGAGTTCAGTAGGCTAGGCAAGTCGTTTCGCATAGCTGTGACCTCGTGCAGTGCGTCACTCAGCTCTAACGCTCCAGATTTTGCGGTCAGCGGCCAAGCAATTCCTGGGTGTTGACTGTCCAGGATTGGGTCGGGCGCCGCCAGGCATAGGTCGGCCACTTTCTTGTCGAAGGCTTTCAGGTTCGACAAGTGCGCGGCTTGGCACAGGGCGATGGCGTTGCGAAATGTGGTTTGTACCTTGACGAGCCAACCTGCGGAAAGTGCGCGGGAGTCAACCGACACTTCTGGAGTATCGTCGAAAAAGGCGTGGCTTAGCAGTTGCATCTCTGAGCGCACGGCTTTGCTCGACTTGGGCTACCATAATCTCCTGGTATCTTGCCGAGCCGACAGGCGGTTGCCATGGAACCCAGCGCATGGCTTGGCCGGGCTTGAGTCCATGGTGCCCCCCCTTGGCTTTTCCTCTGACGGCTTGGCCTCCTTGGCCTGCTCCAGCTCTGCCGCCTTTGGCTTTTCCTCTGACGCCTTGGCCTCCTTGGGCCTTTCCTCTGCCGGCTTTGGCTTTTCCTCTGACGGCTTGGCCTCCTTGCCCTTGTCTGCCTCTGCCGGCTTTGGCTTTTCCTCTGACGGTTTGGCCTCCTTGGCCAGCTCTGCCTGCTCCAGCTCTGCCTTTTCCTCTGACGGTTTGGCCTCCTTGGCCTGCTCCAGCTCTGGCTTTTCCTCTGACGTCTTGGCCTCCTCCACAGCTTCGCCTGCTTGCTCTTTGGCGCCTCATGGATCAGCTGCTGCCCCTTCTCCTTTGGCTCCTTGTCCAGGCAAACAGAAACATGAGCATCATTGGTTGCTTGCAACAACTCAAAAGTATCAGGCAAGGCCTGTTTCCTACCCCAGCTCAGTTTACACACCCTGCCTCGAGCGTTTCCCCTGATCCTTGGAATCCATTTGCATGGCCTGCAAGACCCTGTGACCATGCTCATCTTTCTCAAGAATGATGTGCGTCTTGAAGCCCAGGCAATCCCCATTGGCACCGATGGCTTCTGCAAAGACCATCCCTGCAGGCACATACCTCATGGTTTGAAGCCAATCATAGCGAGGTCAAGGGTGGAGAAGCAGCAAAGAAAAAATGAAACAAAATACATGTCTGGATATGTCTGGCAAGGCACAGTGTCTGGTTCTGCATGACATCCCCGAACCAAATCTGCCCTGGGTGCGCGCTCGTAAACCCATCCAAAGCCTCCTGGCCAGCATGCGTGAGCCAAGCCACAGCAGAAGCATGAGAGATGCTGCCACCGTCGCCGCCGTCCTCACTCCTTGCAGCCTCTTCCCGGAGAAAGTCCAGAACAAGCTGCGCAGACACCAAAACAACTCGCCGGTGGCTCTGACAGCCAAAGCGCAGAGTTGCCATGGCGCCTGACTCAAACCTGACCGAGCGGTGCCCATTGATGACACCATAGCAGGAGCTCACCATCAGCTGCTTCAGCGCAGGATACTTTGCGCGAGTGACATTTCCAGCCTGCCACACGCTGCCAAAGTTGGCACCACTGCTCTTGGCCACCAACTTGAACAGCTCACATCGGACACACTGCTCACATTGTTGGCCACATGGCAGCTGCGCCTTGCCAGCCACCGTCCGCAAATCACTCTTCCCAAAGCTGATCTTGAACTCGCGAAGGCAGTCCGCTGCATGCTTCTGCTCCTCTGACATGCCCTCACGCGAGGGGCCTGTCACTTCAGACAAAGAGCTGGGGCCGGTGAAGACAAAGGGGCGGTTAGCAGGCCTCTGGCAGCTCCTCACCAGTCGGGATGGTCTCGCAGGAGGAGCCCATGCTGTCAGCAATCTCAAACACCTGATAGGGCGCAGCAACATCCTTCTGCTTCTTGCCTCCTCCCCTCTTCTTTGGCGCTGCCTTAGGTGCGCCTGACTTGTCTGCTTTCTTCAGCTCCTGCAAAGACACCCTGCATGAAGCCAGCAACTCATCCCAGTGGCAGGTGACAGTCTTGACGCGCTTCCAATTCGATGCGAGCTCATCTGCGGTGCGCCATGGTGTGCAAGGACTCATGGTTGTTGCATGGGCTGCCAAGCACGCCGACTGTCTGGCTTTTGCTGCAGCCTTCTTGCAGCCGCTTTTGGCTTCTTCTTGGCCGGCTCAGGCAGCAAGTCAGACATGCCATCCCCGTCACAAACCAACATGGCAATGCTGAAAAAAAAGACAGGGACCCTGCTGGCCCCACACGGCTGCGCAAGGCAAACTGGCATGACAACTATCATGCGCGGGACACTGCTGCAACTGGCATGCAAAGGACACTGTGGCTGCACGCCTCGTAAGATCTTCCAACCTTCCTCCACCAGCAGCCACCTGCAGACCAAGGGCTGCCGCATGAGTGTCACATCAAGTTTGCAAGTGCCAGTGTGACCTGATGTGCGCATTTTTCAATTGGACTGCGTGTCCTCAAAATACAAAGTCTCGCCATCAACCTGTGTTTCTGCCACAGGGGCTGCCGCACTAGACGCAGCTGCTGCACTAGATGCCCCCAAACGTGAAACTGCAGCAGGCTGCACAGGCACCAAGAAGCCCAGAGCAAACGCCAAAGCAGCGCCTAGACATTGTAGATTCATGCCATTGCCAGCCATGCGGGTCCACTGCACGTGGCTCAGCTTGTCGCTGAAGAGGAGAGCGCGAAAATGGCACTTGAAAGGGGTGTCAACAAAGATCGGCCAGCCTTGCACTCCCAGCATTTCATGGTGGAGCAGAAGCCTCTGCTTGCTTACGCAAAACATCGCAGAATGTGTGGTCAGGGCTGGCACTTTTGTCACACAGGGACACCTTTCAGGTGTCTGGGTCACATTCATAATGCATTGCTTCTTGGCCTCGCTGGTCAACTCCTCTGACTTTCGCAGCGCCTCCTCCCACACACGCAAGCGCTCGCGAGTCCCTGACAACATGAGTTGTTTGCGTTTCCAGCTTCCTTCATCCAGTCGGCGCCCAAGCCCTTTCCTGTCAGCCCACCGTTGATTCTCACCCTGAACAACATCAGCTCCCAGAAGGTCATGCCTGGCAAGTGACAACGACCACCAAAAAGCCTGAGAAGCAGCTCCTGGTGCTGGTCTGAAGCTGCTGCGTCGTGCAGTCTGTAGCGGGATGCCTTGAAAAGGATCATGTACTGCCTGTGGCGAGTACAAGGCACGCCCACCTGGTCAGGTGACAAACACACTGCAGCCAGTGTGTACTCAGAGCAAAGATCAGCTCCAGCTCTTCTGCAGGGAAAGGTTGCACGTTCTCAACCACAATCACATCCGGCCGATCTGGCCGGCACAGAATTTGCTCCCTCACCCAGCACGCAAACGGCACCATACTGTCCCCCACCCATTGCATGCCATTGCCGAGAACAGACCAGTCAATGCAGCTCGGCCCTGCCACATGAAGTTGCAAAGCCTTTGGCCTCACCGGCTTAAGGAAGATGCACATGTCCTTGTGCTTGCTGCAAAATGCAGTGCTGCTTAATTGTTTGTCAAGCTCCCCCTCGCCCAACTCCACAAAGGATCAAAGATGTCCCTTGTCATCTCCTTGATCACCCTTCGACTGCAAACAAGAAGTGCACAAAGCAACAAAACACACACTAGCTCACAATCAACCCCGTCCTTGAAAAAACCCACTGCAGCAAAACAACTACTACCGCTCCGCCCAGGCACTGCAAAAAAGTTGAGGGGCAGCGATCCACCAGCTTGTTGAGTAGGCCCATGGCCATCAAGGCTGAGCAGCACCACTGGATGACAGCTTCAGGAGACCCGAGGCCAGAATATGCAGTGGACAAATCAATCTGCTGGTGGAACTTCCCAAGCATATGTCCATGGGCAAAGGCTCCGACACAAACATCCTCATCTGCTGCACGTGAACACATCTTCATGTTTTTCAGCCCCGATGTCACCCAGCAAGAAAGAGCTCCTCAGGATTGACTTCCCAAAGTCTTCTGCGAGCCTTCGCTTCACTGGCAAGATCACCGATGCCATGGCACATGCCAAACCAGTTGTCAAGAACTGTTTTCTCACCTGCAACAGCCTGCAAACCTTGCTTGCGCACATGACTTCTCCTTCCAATCAGCCACATGACCACTCACCAGCCACTCAGGTCCAAAAATGCCAGCGGCAAAGCATATGCACTGAGTTGCAGCCGCTCAGACCAACATATGAAGCAAAAAAAAGAAAACCCACCAGAACCGCGACCGCAAAGCCCAAAATCCTGCCTCAGTACATGTGGGCCTAGGCCGCAAGCACATGAACGCCAAAGAAATGGACATGGTGAGCATGTGTGCCTAGTTTATACAAGGAGTTGCCAAAAAACTAGTCTCTGTGCTCGCCAGGCGCTCGCCAGCGCTTGTAAAACCCCGCTCAGGTTCAGAAACCCCGTTTTAGGGTCACGTTAAAGACACGTACCTCAAGTGCAGGCAAGTCCCAAAGCGTGGCGGACTTTTCTCTTGAGCCAAATAACCATCGGTTAGCGTATTGGGTCTCAAACAAAAATAAAACTCACTCAAGCCATGCAAATCTGTACAAAACGGCTTTCTTAGGTTTCGGCTCACGTTGATTCACATCAAACGTTCGCCTCACCTGCTCCAAGCATCTTCTCGATGCTCTGCGCACTATCCTAACATAACTCCACTGTCCAGAGTCGTGTCAAGACACTTCGCCATGAGTCAGTTCTTTCAGAAACAACACAGCACACAAACAGGGGACCACCACCACCGACAACACCACACAAAGCACATCAAAACCAAATCACACGTTCACCTAACTCCTTCAAATCTCAACACCCCCTCTTGAACGAGTGATTCACTCATTCGAAGGTTTCACAAGCACTGTCTGCACCTGTTCTCGCCACCAAAGCTTGAACATGTCGCACGAAACCACTTCGGGTTTCGGATGCAACGTTTTTATCAGTGCTCTTGGTTTAGGCTGCATCTTGATTTCACAAGACGCGTGTAAAAAATGATCATCGTCGCACACAGAGCGACCAAGATGAAAAATCCGGCTCAGGCGCGTCAGCTCTTGGTTTCCAGCACGTGCACCTTGTCTTCGAGATGCACTCCAGCCTTGGATCACGATCAAGGGTGATCGTGTCTCATGGAAAACTCACCAGTGGAAACAGCTACACACCGTTTCCACACCTCTACCTTCTCACCAAAGCACATGTTCTCAGCACACTCTCTCACTTCGCTCACCGAGTCAGAACCTTTCAGATCACAAAAGATCCATCCAAAACAGAAACAGAGGGAACCAAACAACCCCAAACGGAAAATCCACATCTACTCCAACATGGCTGCTTAAAGATGACCTTGAGCCAATCCCGCAGCCACCAGAGCTCGTCCAAACTCAGGGGGATATACCCCTGTCGCCTTGGTTGACACTTTTCGATGCTCACAGCCACAGCATCGCCCATATCTTGACATCTTCTGAGCAAAGCTCGAACTGTTTGTGGTGATACCCCAACGCTTGTACACTCTGTCAAATTGACATCTATACACTGTCACAGCGTACCACAGCTCCATTTTCTCGCGCACCGCAAAGCATGCGGCTCCTCCCACAGCAGGTTTCCTTTAGGCCACTCGTGTGAGACCGTGCACCTAGGGTGTTTGGACACCTCGCCAAAAAGTCTCTTGATGATCCTCCACACGGCATGATGCGTTCCCACATCTTTCAACCACTTGTTCTGAAAACTTCCATGAAGGTTTCGATTCACATACTGCCAGCGACAACCAGCAGTGCAGGGAGTGGAAATATGAACGTACACTCGACTCCACATGGACATCTCCAAACGTTCCAAAACACTCTTAATCAGAGTCTGAGTCTCTCTCCACTCAATCCTCGCCTCTTGACACACACCCAGATAAGGAACCTTCAACTCAGCACACGCACATGAAATGGCACTGTTCCTTTCACAGCAAATTTCCAAAACCACAGGCAACTCACAAAGGGTGTCCTTCATCAACCTCTCAAAAACGGGCCTCCAAAGGGGTATTCCTCTCAAAGCAACTTCTACAGCACACTCAGAAATCGCTACCCCGATATCCTGAATAGGACAAGCCTCCTCGCCATGTCCTTCATGATGTAGATCTAGTCTCCCAGTAGGATCGCGCGATTGATGCTGTCTACCAACAGGTTGTACCTGGTCTTCAGCTCGTACTTCTCGAACTTCACCTGCCTTTACCTTTCTCGCACCTCCTATTGAACCAACCGCCGATCCAGACTCAAATTTCCAAACTTCCGTTTCGCAATCAAAACGAACATGTCTAGGATTTGGGGTGGCTTTCTTCCCAACGTCTTTGGAGAGTCTCTGGCGATTCACTGCGTGCCACTCATCTGCGAACTCATCTTCACAAGAAAAATCGCAAGAAAAAGTCGCACTCTCCCCCTCTTCGACTGAGACCTCTCCTTTTTGCACGAACAGCACTTCCCTCAAACCTGTCGCATCCTTCAAATGTCTCATGTTCGCCATGTCAGGGGTTTTCGTCAAAGCATCACTGGGATTCAATAAACCGGATATGTGTTGCAGATCCACGTTGTATTGCTTCACCAAATGTTGGAGGAAAGCTATGCGCAGCTGAAGATGTCGCACGCGCCTTAGCAGTCCACTCATGTGAGCCACATCAATGCCACTTTGAGAATCCAAATAAAAAGTCAAAGAAAAATTCGTCACTTGAACCAAAGGCTCTCCCAAAGGGCTACATGACACTCCATCCAAAATGGTTTGCACCAACATACCCGCCGACAAAGCCTCTTTTGCAAGGTCCACAGCTGCGATGAGCTCTGCCTCACAACTGGAAAGCGCCGGCACAGTCTGCTTGCGCGAAAACGCCTTGATCATGTGTCCACACCATGTGACGATTCCTCCAGTGACGGAAGTTTCGCCCCAGCTCGCATCCCCATAGCAGACCAAGCGACGTTCATTGCTTTGTTGCATTGTGTCAGGTGCGTTTTCAGGCGGAAACTGCTGCACAACACACGGATGCGCACGCACATACCTAAGCACAGCACGCATGCACATTTCACTCGCATGAAGGGGCTTGTTCTGTGTGCGTGCCAAAAACGCGGTCATGTAGCTCAAATCAGGACGACTCAACGCGCACCATGCAAGCTGCCCCAGCGTCGTACGATACCGTTTCGCAGCCTCTGCGCTTAGCTCAGCGTCAGCTTGCTTTGCATTTTCTCTTTGAAACAACTGTTCCAAGTTCGACACCACTTCAGTTGGTTTCAAGGTCTCTCCCCACTGTTCAAAAACTTGACTCATGTAATCGGAATCCAAACCAAAACTCAACTCTCTTCCAAAGGTTTCCCGAAAAATGGTTCTCCCCAAAAATCGAATCCGACCCGTTTCGTTGGGGGGTAAGCTGCCAGTTTCTTTGATCCGGTACTTCTTCTTCAGCATCTGGACCAGTTCCTCAGCGTCCTCAGGGTTTTCACTGGCTATTAACACATCATCAACATATACCAAAACCAGTGTCAGCCTCTCGTTCCGCACTCGCCTTAGCAGTGTAACTTCCATGGTTCGTTCATACCCTATTTCTTGAAGAGTTTTGGTGAACTCCTCAAACCACAGTAGCGGTGCCTTCCGTAGGCCATTCATGGCGCGTTTCAGCACCATACACAGCCGGTTCCCCTCAGCATCCCTAATGTTGCTAGGTAGCAGCACCAGTTCCTTGTCTTGGGGTCTGAGCTTTGCATACATGAAAGCAACACTCACATCTAGACTTCTCAAAGTCATGCCGCGGTGCGCGGCAAGAGCTAAAGTGGTTCGAAGAGCATCAAGGCTACTTGTAGGAGCATAGTACTGCTCTCTCAACGCCGAGCGGCCTCCACTCCGGTAGTCCCGAACCACCAGCCGAGTCCGTGCTAGGTCACTAGCTTTCTGAGTTATCACCCAGCGGCTCGTCAACATTCGGCCTCCATCTGCAGCTATAAGCTGACGACCTTCAGCCTCCGTGCAACATGTTCCTACTTCTAGCTTGTCAAGACTGGTCATCTCAGTCCCAAAAGCTTCTTTCAACTGCTCAGGATCCATGTCAATTCCAGTGTTCTCATCTACAGCATCTTTAGGAATAGACACCTTCATGTCCAAACCTCCACAGTTTACCTCAATTTGCAACTCTTCGTCATCACCAGTCTCAAAACTCATAAGCATCTCTTTGCTTACAAATCTCACATACTCACGTTCCCATGATTCTGCCAAGACGCGATCGAGTTCTGCTTCGTCATCAACCTCCATGTCATTTCCAGTTCCTCTCACTTCCGAAGATTCAGCCTCTTCCGTTTCTAAAGCATCCATTGGGTCATCAAACTCCACTTCTGGTCTGCTTGGGATTTGGGGCGGTTTCTCGGGCAACCCATCTTGAGATTCAGGCTCGTACCAATCTTCTTGCAAAGGAAATTTTTCAACCAGGAATTCCTTGTCTCCTACAGGTTCAACATGGGCTTTCGGAGGTGGCTTCCAAACATCTCTTTCAGACTGCATCCAAGCCTCGTATTTGCTCAAACAGGAGCGGTTGTGGCGTTTGTTTCCCAGTGTTCCTTTTTCAAGGATCTCCAAACAACCTGGGCATTCAAGAGTTCCTCTCGTTTCGACCACCCATTGTTTCGGTGGCCCTGACAGTGGCATCGGTACCTCAGCTGGTTCGATCACCGACGGGTCTCTCGGCCTCGGTATCTGCTGCACTCCTACCAGCAACGGCATCACACCAGCAAGGTCATAGGTCACAGCTTGCTTCATGCGGAAAGCTTGAACATTTCTTCCTCCGACTACCACGTCCAAAGGCAAACACACAACACCACTACCGGTGCTGGACACTGGCCCCAAATAGACCACAGGAACAAGTTTCATCCCTCGAAAACGCTCCAAGTTCTTCTTCACTGGCTTCGCCAAACCCTCACAGGCAAACGGAAACGTGATCGGTTTCTTGCTGCCCATTTCACCCCTTAGTTGATCGAGAGGCGTGCTGTTCGCTCCCATCTTCACATGATGGATGTTGTACGTCCGGCAGACATACCCAACCATATAGTAGAGCAGCTCCGATTGCAACGCGATTCGTACTTGCAGCATCGACTCCAAGTACAACCAATTGGCATACACACCTTCACGCACATAACAAACAGCTCTTTCAGCCGCTCCATTGTATTGTTTTCTTCCTTGAGGGGTTTCCCGAAAATGCATTCCACGACCACAAAAACGTGGACTCTTGGCTCCTGTCTTTAGCAAATGGATAAGGGCATCATCTAAGTCACACACCACCTCCACTTGCTTGCCTCCAAGTCCGATTTCCTCAAAAGTGGACACAAGTGACTGAACCGACCTGTCAAAGTTTGCGCCCATGATCAAACTGCCAATCATGCCCGTGTTGACCACCACCAACAACAAAATCTTGTGTGCCACACCCGGAAAAAAGCAAAAATCAGCACACACCGTACACGCACGCTCCTCACCAGGCCTTTGCTGTTTCACTTTCCTTGCCGGCATGCGACCACGGGCCTGTACACATGAATCACATGATTTCAAATACGGCCAATGCCCTTGACTCACATGTTGTGTCATGACATCAGTCGGCACATCCAAAGATTCTTCCTCTTCTTCGTTTTCATCCCTAGGGTTCTCCTCAAAGGGCTCCCCTTCTCTCACATCTGCTGGCTTCGGCACAAACACCTCTTGACCTTCCGAAGTGCCTTCAACCTCCATGATCTCTTCTTCTGATTCTTTCTCAAAGGATTCCTCAACATCAACCACAACAGGCAAACCTCTTGACTGATGTCCTGACACAGCTCGGTTTCCTCGAGACCGGCAAACGCGAACTTGATGACAACCTTGTACCTGGTGTCCAAATGCCGTTGTCAAAGACGTACCATGCTGACCTGAGTGGCCAGCACCACAACTCACCACTTCTTCAACATTTCTCACCCCCATCCTACGACAGACATAGGAATACGGGTTACCACCACACATCTCCTGCACAATTCGAACCTGACCTGCCTTCTTCAAGCAACTACGACCTTCACCCGGCTTCCCACGTGGCGCCTGCTCAGTAAAAGTCTTTTCAGTTGCGTCACCCTTGACCTGACCTGCCTCTCTCCCACATGTCCTTTTTACCTCGCCCGCATCATCCATGCGCAAAATCAAATCGTTCTCACAAAACTGTTTTTCCAACACTGGACTCCTACTCGAAACAGAAAAAATCCGAAGAGAATCCACTTCCATCGGCTGAGCTGGCAACTCTTTCAAAGTGGCTTTCAGCCACCAGGACCTATCATGCATGACCATTTTCAACTTCCGATTTCTTTTCTTGATAAAATTCTCATGACAGTGGGTTGGACGGCCAAACTGTACCTTCCAACCCAGGGATCCCAGAACATAAGGACTCAACACATTAAATGTCAAGTCCGCCACCAAACACTTCTGAATAGTGAACTCATGGGTCCCAAATCTGGCTTTGATGTCAACAACACCAAACGTCTTGACAACCTCATCAGAGGCGTCACGCAAAACCGGAACCTCATTGTCATGCTTCCGAACCACCTCGTACTGACTCAGAAAGCGAAGGGCCACGATGTGAGACGTGGCTCCTGAATCAATCAGCCACATTCCTGCAGGGGTGAAATCAGTTGGTCCTACCTGTTGCTTCGTTCCTACACTACTCCGCTGCACATGCTCAGTACACAAAGTCCCTGTTTTCAACAGCATGACACCAGCATCTTGTTCCCCTTCAGGTTGACTCAATGCTTCACTAGGTGCTCCTTCGGTATCCAGCCTCCAGTTGCGGTTCTTTCCCTTCTTGCCTTTTCCTCCACCGTGTGACCAGCACTGAGCGGCCTTGTGTCCTTTCTTGCCGCAGTTGTGACAAGTGATGTCACGCTGAGAACCTTGGCTCCACGATCTCTGTGGTTGCTGTCTTTGCCCATACTTCTTGTAACCATCTCCTACTCCTTTTCCTTTCCCTTCCTTCTGTTGACCACCTTCCTGCTCATTCCAACTCGACTGTCCTTTGTCCTTGTTCTTGCCTTTGCCTTTTCCTTTCTTGTTCTTTCCTTTCATAGCGTTCACCCGTGGATTGTTGTTGTACCCATAGTTCAGGTCAACCATGCGAGTCTGTTCTTCATAAAAACGAAGGCCACGGACAACTCCTTCCCATGTACTTGCGTCACCATGCAAAACAACATACCGGCGAGCATCTTCAGTCACACTTTGCAACAAAACGTTCACCTTATCCGCGATGTTCATCTTCAGATCTTCAAATCTAGACAATTTCACATCGTTCTTCCCAAACTCATCTTGCAAAAACCGCACCACATCCAAAGGCCTTTGATACTGTTCTGCCTTCTTGTTCAACTGCAATCCGGCATCCCTAACTGAAATAGCTTCCATGCGAGACACAATAGAAAAGGTATCATGCAGTTGTCTCATACACTCATAGCCACAGGCGGCCTGATCTTGCCTTGTCGAGGTCGATCGTAGGATTTCCATACCTCGATTGTACGCAGACAGGGACGGGGTAAGGTAGTAGTACAAACGAGCACTCCTTGTAGCAATAGGCATTGCAAGATTCTTTTGGACGATCTCCTCCTTGTACACCAAAGCAGCTTTTACTTCTGTAATAAATTGTTCATCAATCAAAGCAAGCCATGTAGAAAAATTCTCCAGAAAAGCATGCCAACTTTCCACTTCTCTCATACGGGTTTTACCCATGTCTTCGTTGGTCAATTTTGGAATCGGAGGCAAATACCTTTCAGCCCTGTTCGTCGAGCTAGACTTCGGTGCTTCAGTACCAGCAGAGAAATAACTCGGGTTCTCCTTCGGCGGAATTCCAGGGGGACTAGCTAAACTCTCTCCTCGATCTTTCTTCTGGCTCTCCATCATTTGTTTCATCAGTTCCTGAGTCTGAGTCATCATCACCTGGTTCTGTTGCAGCATCTGCACCATAAGGTTCATCATTTGTCCGACATTTCCACTCGTCATCTCTCCAGTGGAGGACGAAGGCATACCCCCAACAGCTGGATTAGCTTGGGGGCTCATCATCGGGCTTCCTGGTCCTGGTCCAAACAAGTCAGGGTCTTCCTCATCATCATCAGGGAGTCTGGCTGACATGTCTCCACTCTACTGCCCCGGTTGGGGCTCCGCTACCATGTAAAACCCCGCTCAGGTTCAGAAACCCCGTTTTAGGGTCACGTTAAAGACACGTACCTCAAGTGCAGGCAAGTCCCAAAGCGTGGCGGACTTTTCTCTTGAGCCAAATAACCATCGGTTAGCGTATTGGGTCTCAAACAAAAATAAAACTCACTCAAGCCATGCAAATCTGTACAAAACGGCTTTCTTAGGTTTCGGCTCACGTTGATTCACATCAAACGTTCGCCTCACCTGCTCCAAGCATCTTCTCGATGCTCTGCGCACTATCCTAACATAACTCCACTGTCCAGAGTCGTGTCAAGACACTTCGCCATGAGTCAGTTCTTTCAGAAACAACACAGCACACAAACAGGGGACCACCACCACCGACAACACCACACAAAGCACATCAAAACCAAATCACACGTTCACCTAACTCCTTCAAATCTCAACAGCGCTCGCGCCAGGCGTTCGCCAGGTGTTCGGCAGTTGTTCGCCAGTTGTTCGCCAGTTGTTCGCCAGTTGTTCGCCAGGTGATCGCTAGGTGTTCGTCAGCTCTCTCTCTTTAGAGGGAGTTTCCCAAATGGCTTATATTCTACCTGAGAGGCTCCCAGCGCTCGTCCGTCCAGCATTTGACCTCGTCCTGCGAAGGATTCGAAGTCTAAAACGCTGCGTGGAGGCGTGTGGCTGCAAAATAGTGACCCCTAGATATGCTTGCAATTTGGCTCCAGGTTGCATTTCAAGCGAGCCAACCTTTGCAGGGCTAAGAAAAACCAAAAAAAAGAAAACAAGGGGTCCCAAAAAAAGGGGTCCCCGAAAAAAAGGGAAAAGGGGTTTCCTTTGGCAAAGCTTGACATCGCTTGAAATGCAACCTGGAGCCAAATTGCGGCGCATATCTAGGGGTCACTATTTTGCAGCCACACGCCTCCACGCAGCGTTTTAGACTTCGAATCCTTCGCAGGACGAGGTCAAATGCTGGACGGACGAGTGCTAGGAGCCTCTCAGGTAGAATATAAGCCATTTGGGAAACCCCCTCTAAAGAGAGAGCTTCAACACAAGTGCCACTTGTGTTCACATTCCTGCCGCGCCAAGGGTTGTCCGCAGTGGGGGATTCTACTTCCCACTGCGGCGGCACGGTGCCGCGTGTACGCCAAGCCGCCGAACCCCCACTCTCCCCCGGGTCCTTGCTATATGTGCTATATGTGCTATATCTTACACGCCAAGCCGCTGAACCCCCACTCTCCCCCGGGCCCTTGCTATATGTGCTATATGTGCTATATGGCTCTTACACGCCAAGCCGCTGAACCCCCACTCTCCCCCGGGTCCTTGCTATATGTACTATATGTGCTATCTTACACGCAAGGCCGCTGAACCCCCACTTCCCCCAGCTCCCTTGCTATATGATATATGGCTATATACTTCTGTACGCGCGGAAAATTCTGTACTTATATGTGCTATATAGGGCCATATAGCACATATAGCACGTATAGCAAGGAACCCGGGGGAGAGTGGATGTTCAGTGGCTTGCCTTGTGAGATATAGCACATATAGCACATATAGCAAGGAACCCGGGGAGAGTGGATGTTCAGTGGCTTGCCTTGTGAGATCTAGCACATATAGCACATATAGCAAGGAACCCGGGGAGAGTGGATGTTCAGTGGCTTGCCTTGTGAGATATAGCACATATAGCACGTATAGCAAGGACCCGGGGGACTGTGAGGGTTCGGCGGGTTGGCACTCCGTACGCGCCGCATTTTGCATGGTTTTTGCGTGGTTTTTGCATGGTTTTTGCATGACATGTGGAACAGCTTGTTTTTTGCATGACATGACACGTGGAACAGCTTGTTTTTTTGCACGACATGACACGTGGAACAGCTTGTTTTTTTGCATGACACGTGGAACAGCTTGTTTTTTGCATGACATGACATGTGGAACGTTTTTTGCACGTTTTTTGCACGGTTTTGCATGTCATGTGGCTCAACCCCAACGTGCCCCTCCCCCCTGTTTTTTTTCCCTGTCAGGCTGCCGTACGTAGGTCGGACATCCTGGAGAACTTCGCGGTGGGAGGCGGGGCGGTGCCGAGCAGGCACGTGCCGAGCAGGCACAGGCACCCCGGTGCCGAGCTGGCACCGTGGGGGGGTGCAGTGCCGAGCAGGCACGTGCCGAGCAGGCACAGGCACCCCGGTGCCGAGCTGGCACCGTGGGGGGGTGCAGTGCCGAGCAGGCACTAGTAAGTAGATGCGCCGAGCAGGCACAGTGCCGAGCAGGCACGTGCCGAGCAGGCACCTAGGTAAACGCGCCGAGCAGGCACAGTGCCGAGCAGGCACCGTGCCGAGCAGGCACTTAACTAAACGTGCCGAGCAGGCACAGTGCCGAGCTGGCACCGTAGGAGCGCCAAGCAGGCGCAGCTTTGAAGCAGGTGTGGAGGCCACTGTGAAAGTGGTTGAGTGGCTCGCCCAACGGCCCCTTAGTACTGGCTCGCCCAATGAGTACTGGCTCGCCCAACCTCGTTTGATGGCTCGCCCAAGTACGGGTTGGTCAGCGGCAAGTCCGCGAGTGCGCAAGACGTTCGTGTCGTACTGGAAGTATACCAGGAATTGAAGGATAATATCTCGGAATTCCGACTTCGCTCTGCACCGAGGTCGGAATTCCGACTTCGCTTTTTTGCCAAAAAAACCCATCACCGGGCCAGCGCCGGAGGTCTGTCAGCGCCCTGCTCCTCGCCATACCGCTGACAGAGTGTTTTTTTTACCACTCACACGCCCAGCCGTCAATCCTGGCGTGGGCACAGGATTGCCCCACTCAATCCTGGCGTGGGCGCAGGATTGCCCCACTCAATCCTGGCGTGGGCACAGGATTGCCCCGGTGTCTCCCAGACTCGCCGCCCAGATTGCCCGGAAAAACTCCGCACTGCCGGGCCACCGGGCCACTGCCGGGCCACTGCCGGGCCACTGCCGGGCCACGGACTGGATTTGTACCCAAGCATGTGTCAGAAACTAACACATGCTCCAAATCCCCTTCGTCAATGCCCCGACACAGCTGCTGTGTAGCAGTGTACTGACAGACTCGCCGCCCCGGATTGCCCGGAAAACTCTGGAAGCGCACTGCTGTATAGCAGGGCACTCACGGAAAACTCCGGCTGCGATGCCGTAAATATGGCATTTCTCCCGGACTCGCCCGGCTTCCCGGCTTCAAATTTGGCAAGTGAAACAAAGGAAATGGGGAAGATCAAGCTCTTTCCTGTGCCAGAATACAGCAGCAAACAATCCTCGGACCCCGTGGTGCCCCTGGTCCCGTGTACGGGCATCTTCCTCGGCCCCAGCAAGTCCGGCAAAACCGTGCGGGCCTCCGGCACGTCGTTGACGCTGACGACGAAGGGCAGGCCGCTCGCGAAGAGTGCGTCTCGCAGCTCCGTGTGAAAGACCAGGTCGTGGCCCCCTCGCGTACCATAGTAGTTCATGCTGCGGCCGGGGAAAATGTAAGGATCTTCCCAGCAAAAAAATGTCGAGGTTGTCGTCTAAGCCGACAACTGAAAAAAAAAATTCCAGTGGTCCTGTGGGGGGACAACTGCCTAAAGTTTCGGCGAACCTGCCCGGCAGAGCCGCGCCAGCCCGCCAACATGGAGGGCACGCAGCTGATGTCTCGCACCAACTACGAAGCAGTGTCCGATTATGTGGGACACTGCTTCACACCTAGCGCACCACCCGGCCGCGCCACCTGCCCGGCATAGAAGCCTCCAGCCTGCCGCAACTCTCGCCTGGAACGAACCCACTTCGAAAAGCACATACCGAAAATTTCGGCCGTCGTGCGCAGGTCCCGCGATTGACCGGCGAAATCGGTCAAATCAAAAATTGAGTCACATCCGAAAAAACCCTGGTGCGGGCCTGGTGCGGGCCTCGCTTTGCGGAATAGCCACTGGACTAAGGCGGTGAGAACATATGTAAACATGTTTGAAGGACCTGTTACCGGCAACATCCCGGAGGTCCTGGACAACGGAGAGGTGACTGACGGCACGCACGTCACCGCAGGGCAGCTGGCCCTCGCTCTGACGCCGTACGCTCAAGTAACGGACCTGGCGGTGAACACGGCAGCCGCCGGCAACAACGCGGCCGCCATCCAGTCCTTGGACGACAGAGTCACCGCAGAGCTGGCCTCAAAGCTGGACAGCAGCGCGCTGGCGCCGGCGATTGCGCCCCTGGCCACGGCGGCGGCCCTGGCCACCACGGACGGGCAGGTGGCCGCGCACGGAAGCAGCATCGCCG